ACCTTGAACAAGATGACCATCCACCATATATTCGACATTCATTTTTGCCAAATTGAAAATGTTTTTTATTGTCATCAATATGGCATGCAGATTGATTTCTCAATCAAAAAAAAAAAATAAAAAAAAATGAAATTAAACATCTGACTCTTTTTTTTGGTTGTTTGCAATGTTTTTCAATTGAAAAATAAAATAGAGAACGTGTTAAGCATTATTGATCAAATGTTTCACATTCCATTCATGATCATGGATATCAAAAAAAAAAATTTTCATGTTTCATGTTCATATCATGGTCATCTATACATATTGGCCATGATCATGATCATCATTATCATCATCATCATCATCATCATCATCGCCAATGGTTCGATTGATCGAAATAGACAAAATAAAGGTTACCACGTACAATATGGTTTCGTCAACACACCTGTTGAATATGCATGATTCTATTATAATCTTGATTCTATGAATAGGCCAATACAATTTCACTCTTATCAACAAAAAAAAAAAGAAAAGAAAAGAAAAGCAAACAAAAATCTATGTCAATCAATTGTTTTCATTCATCAACACAACAACAACAACAAGGAATTCAACAATCAAAATGAATGAATCGATTTGAATCAATCAAAAAATGAAACAACAACAACAAAAACAAAAAAAACAAAAAAAACAAAGTCTGAAATAGGGACAAATAATTTGACATGATGGCAGTGGTCTGAAACAAACACATCAACAACAACAACAACAACATCGATCGAAACAGACACACAATTATGAATGAATAAGGCCAATGACGACTATTTTGATGGTGAAATCAATTTGAATTTGAATGTTTTTTTTATATATAAAAACAACAACAACAACTATCAGCCACTGATAATAATTGGGATATATACATCATCATAGTGTAATATATCGATATATAAATATAAAAATCGGCCAAAAACACATGAATAACAGTGGAAAAAAAAACACGTACTGAAAAATGTTTCTCTCGTTCACTATGGTTTTCGTTATTTTATAAATTGATTCAATGTTAATGATCATGTGTGAAGAAATGTCAACCTGAAACAACAAGCGACAATAATAATGATGATGATGATAACAATTTATAATCTTGTTGTTATTTGATGGATGATTGTAAATTGAAAGTAAATCGAATCGATTATCATCATCATCATCATAAGTCATAAAAAAAAATTTTTTTCATGGTCAAAACATATCTTGAATGTAGATCAAATTCATCAATGAAAAAAAAGTTAATCTTGGCATCGTCGATATCGAATTGCATTCAAAAAAAAAGAAAAAAAATTTCGAAACAAACCAAGATGATGATGATTACATTTATGGACTACCCTCATTCATTTTGGAAAAATTCACACAGTCATCATGTTGTTGTATGTGAGAGAATATTCATCAATTGTAAAAAAGGTGTCAAAATCAATTTAGAATTGAATAAAAAATAGGTGTGAACGCCCAATGATAATCGGTGAAGAACATGACAAACAACGGACACACAATGATGATGATGATGATGATGTAATGAGACATTATTTTTGTTGTTGTTGTTGTAAATTAAATCGACCAAAATAATTAAGAAGAAAACAAAAACAAAATCTCTGGACAATGAGAAAAAGAAATAAAAAAAATTTGTCATGTGATTATAATTATCATCATCATCATCATCATCATTTCCCTATTTCAATTTAATTAGGGTGCAAAAATAAAAAAAGATATCCAAATAGATAGCCAGTAAGAAGAAAAATTTCAACAACAATGATGGTCATCAGCAAAATGATTGTCTGCGTGTGTGTGTGTGTGTGTCCACCACACTTTGGTCATCATTATTATAATCATGGCTGGTTATTAATTGTTTCGAATTCAATTCGAAATGAGCGACAATTCAACTTTCAAGTATCAAAAAGAGAGAGAGAAAAAACGCAATACCCAAATCGGTGTTACAAGTCATACTGATTTTCAAGACAAAAAAAAAGTAAAAAACAACGAAACGGAAGAATGATGTTTTCATGTTAGTTGAATCGTGTGTGTTTTTTTGTTCATTCTTCATTGATCAAATCAAAAATGAAGATTTTCGAACGATTTTTTAACCATCATCATCATCATCATCATCATTACAACATAATAGCATTTCGGTGTAGGTTAAAATTAAATCTAAGATGTTGACCATCACCGTTACCAGTGAACGAAGAAGAAGAAAAAAAAGATATGATCCATTAATAGTTGGATACCCGGTGGCCAGCAACCATCCAACAACAAACCAACCACCATCATGCCACATCATCATGCAATGGCGTCGATGATAATGGATTTCTTTCCTCCTGTCATTCATTCATTTGAACTAAACAACAACAATATGGACATGGATGGAAAAGTGGTTCGCACATATACAGAAATACCTTTTTGGTATAAAAATGATGTTCAAGGTGGCAATGATGATCATGATCATGATCATCATTATGATGGATATCTGAGAAGAAAAGGGGAAAGAAAAAAAAAGAAAGAAAAAAGAAAAAATTAGGACAAGAACCAGTTTAACATTGAACTCGATTACCAGGCTTTTTGCTCATCATTCGTATCAGTTTTTTTCTTTCCATTCAATTCACATCCATGGTATATTTGAACACAAACAAACAAACAAACGAAAAAAAAATGGCAATGATGATAGTGATAACGATAATTCTTGAATGGTCACACACACAGATTTCTTTTCTTTTATCATCATCATTTTATTATTATCATTCGGAACAAACAAAAAAAAAGAATGAGCTCAAGAAAAATGACCGCCAAAAAAAATAAGAACAAAGAATCCGCTTCTGAATATATAATTAATAAAGATTTTCGTTTTACGCTTGCGCATAAATACAAAGAATATAATGAGCTTTTCATTAAGTAGATGACATCTTTTTTTTTTTGATATATTAATTTTCACCTTATTATCATCATCATTATCATGATGATATTTATCTTATGCAAAATTAGTTCTCATCATCATCACCGTCATCATTATAAATCATCACCTTTTTTTTATTTTCGAGTTTATTTTGAATTTTGTCTGATTAAAAAAAAAAAAAAAATGTAAATCAGTACACATTGTATATATGTGATTAGCATTTATATAAGGAAATCAATCATATGACGGTAATCGATGTGTTCGAAAATCAAAACAAAATTCTTATTCGAATTATCTGTATATTTACCGGTTACGATTTACCGAAATTCTTTTTTTCGTTCACATTGAACCAAGGTATGATGATAATGATGATGATGATGATGGTCATTTATTATTTTTTGCTTACCCATCGATCTAGGTGAATCGAATTTTGAAATAATAATAAGATCCGTGGTAAAAAAAAGAGTTTTCGTTTTTTTTTCTTACATTGGCTGTGAAAGTTACACTGGTTTCAACCTTTGCTGAATATAAATGATTTCGTCATATTGTTTCCTTCGAAAATCTATCTATATGCGGATTTTTACAAGTTGAAATAAAACTTGATTCGATCGTCTGATATATGGTTACGATAAATCATGACCGTTAACCACTGTTATCATGCTCATGTTAATATGCATTTCTTGTATCAATTTTTGGCTATTTTAATCATCATCATCATCATCATCATGATGATGACTCATATGACTCACATATAACCACAACAAACGGCTGAATGAATGTGAAATATATGAATGAAGAAATGAATCTAGGTCTAAATCATGATCTTAGGATTATCATCATCATCATGATGACGATTGTTGTTTGTTTTTTCATGATACCATATATATAAATTCATCTTCAATTCGTTCGCAACTACCTTGTCATTTGGGTGAAAAAAGAAACCTTCATCATGCATCTTTAAAAAGATTTTCAACCTTGAAAAATGAATAAAATTACCGACAACAAAATGGACGGATTGGATATAAAAACAAATAATTATTTATTGATTGCATTGCATTTTTTAGCAAAAATCAAATCAAAAAATCTAAAACTTATCGATCTACTTGCTTGTATACAAAAAAAAAATTATTCATAATCAAATAATCAAAAAAAATGATTGATTGATTGTTCCTAATTCGAATTTGTATTGGTCGTGCTTGATATATTATTATATTTCATATAATCACAATAATGGTTGTTGTTGATAATCGATGAAAAAAAAAAATATTTTCCACCAATCATCAAGCGAACCGAATCATCATCATCACCAATTAATTGTGTTTACCGTTAAATGGTGTGATGAAAACCTATCTTGAGAATTTTTTTTTTATATAACGAAGAAACAAACACAAACTATATATGTAACTATTTTTCGATAAAATCGATTGTGGTGGTCTTCTGTTCTATCATCGTCATCTATTCATTTTTTTTGAAATTATCAAAATCTTTTCTTTGGTTCAACTCGGAAATGATTAAAGTAAACATTCACAGTCACACACACACACATACACACACACAATGAAGATGAATCCAATCAAATTCCTGTCATCATTATCATCATCATCATCATTGGCCTAAAAATGCCTTGAAGAAACAAAGATGAAATTTATTTGTTTAGCCATTTTTTAAGGTCAATCATCAATAGAATTGATTCTCAACCAACCGAATCTATTTAATTCACACACTCATCATTATCATCATCATCATCATCATCAATGAAATGCAATTGTTCAATATTGATCAAAAATCTATAAATCAATCATTAATCAATTTGATTCACTAACAATCATCATCGTCATCATGATGATCATCATCAAAATTTGTTTTCTTTTGCTACAAGTTTAAAATGTAAATTCATTCGAATTTGATTCATTGAAAATTCGGTTTTGATTCTAATTTTGTGGCTACCACCACCACCATTAAATCGGTTAAGTTTATGTAATAATAGCCAGTGACCACAATAATCCACAGCATGTGTGTATGTGCGAGTAAGTAAGTATTTGAATAAACAATTTATAAATTTCCATTTTAAAGTTTTTTTTCTATCCATTAGGCATGAAAAAAGGCTGAAAAATGTTCAATCGAAGAAGAGCCAGTGTGGTAAGTGAATTTTTTTCTTTGGTTTTTCAATCCTCACTCATTCAAGTCAGTGTGGATGGGAAAATAAATCCATCTGGTAAATATAGAAAATGATGTTTGATATATTATATCCAGATGATGATGATCCAAGATGTATTGATTGAACCTGCCTATATACAATGATCAATGGTCAAAGATTTTGACAACCAAAAAAAAAAAAAAACACGGTTTTGAGGTCAATGTTGATTGTACCTTTTTTTCTGTCTTTGGATGGATCAATGGATCGATTCCAGAGAGAGAGAGAGGTAAAACCGATCAAATCATCAATCTATAAATGTCATTTATAAATGATGTTAATATTATGATGAATGGTCATTGTTCATTTTTTTTCAATCTAAATATGTGTGTGTATATGTTCAATCGATTGTTTATCGATTGATCGAATGATGATGATGACAGATCAATGAATCAATGATGATCCAGGCGATGTGAACGACAATAGGTAAACAAAGCAAAAAAAAAAATAACTCCTGCTGTTTACTACCAAAAAAAAAAAAAATTCATATAAACCAGATAGTTTTCATCATCATTTGACCCGATGTTAAAAATTCGCAATTTATCGATTTTGATGAATAAAAAAATTTATTATTCAAAAATCCATTATTGATCCAAAAAAATGTTTTCATTAAGTCATCAACATAGTTATAAAAAGAAAAAATACCAACAACAACAACAACAAAAACTATATCCATTGATCATCGTCATTTTAACATGACGATAATCGAATTTTCCATCCATTTTTATCCCTTTTCAATCTATCGATCATCAACATCATCATCATCTGAATGGCTGGCTGATTGAATAATGGTAAAATAACATTTTCAATCTATAACTAATAATAATTTTTCATCTTTTCATTATTATGTTTAATCTCCGAATACTTAATCTTATGATATAGAAAGTTTGTCCTTATTACAAAGCTTCTGTATTCCTGTATTGTATTCATTTGCACATGTTCATCATCATCATGATCATCATCATCATCATTTATATTAATTTTATTTCATTTCATTCATCATTTGAATTTGAATATGTATATGGTTAATAATAATGAACATAAATGAAAAGAATAGAGAGCCACCCCCGTTACACACTAACCCCATAATGAAATGAATGAATGAACATCATCATGGATTATCATCATTACAAATGATGATGATCATCATCATATAGATTAAGATCAAATAAGAGATGGATCTGTGTTTGTTTACTTGCTTGTTTCTTTTTCAATACACGCGTATTTCATTGTTGGTTATTCAAGCCAGATTAAATATTTTCATTACTGCTGATGATGATGATGATGATCTGGTTGTGTGTGTGTTGGTTTCAATCTTTAAACCATACAATATATGAATGAATCGAGAACAGAGGTTGATGGACAGGATGGATAGATGGATGAATGGATGGATAGAAAATGTTGATTCATTTTCTTATAATGGTGGTTGTTGTTTATAACAATGACCATAATAATGTTTGAATGTAACACTATATATCCCGGTATGGCGAAAAAAAATTAAAGAGGCTAACCTTTTGCTTTTGATTTTGACTTTGTTTGATTGACTGACTGACTGACTGACTGACTGACTGAATGTGAATGTTTTCCTCTCCTATCCTTTTTTTTCCATTATCCTCAATCGTTCGGTCCAGATCAACCATCCATATGATCATAATCATGATGATGATGATGATGATGATCAAAAAAAAAACAGCAACAAATGCAGAAGCAAAGATGACGATTATAATATATATATGAGAAACATTTATATGTGATGGGAGAAAAACCAACCGTACGTCATTTACATTTTTTTTCTTCTTCTTCTTCTTTGTTCTGATTGATCCCATTAACCATATTATTATTATTATTATCATGAATATGAATATGAATCTTCTTTATCAATCCTTTTGTTTTTTTATATTCATTCCTAATGCATTGTCAAAATCAATTCAATCTCTCTCGGATTTCGGTAATTCTTACTTCGGTTTTTTTTTCTACATTCCAGAAAAAAAACTCCATTACCACCTCATTATACAGATGAAGAAGCAGAAATAAAAAACAATAACCGACTGAATGAGAAAAGCCAGCCATAATGACGATAATTGTTTTGGTTTTTTTGATTTTCATGAATTAATGAATGTTTTTATATATATAATAAATTCTCAAGCAAACTGATGATTGAAGTTTCTGGTTTCAATCTTTTAAATACAGGTGGATTCAGTGGCCAACTTTTCAACAGTAATCAAGTAATATATGGCAACAACAACAACAACAACAAAAAAATCACTTTGAGCTGCTCTAAATACTATATATTTGAACAATCACCAAATACACACTAGTAGTTCAATCAATGATTAAATGATTATTTTTTTTCTGTTTGATCGATTTGAAAAGTAGGAAAGAAGCAAAACAAAACAGAGAAAAAAAAACACCATCAAATGTCGTCAGTAGCAATTATAATTTTGATGACTTTAATGTGAGTTATTATAATCTTGATTTGATTAATAATCATAATCATTCATTTATGAACGAATTAATTTTTCTAGGACAGTATTGTAAAGAATTGGGTTCCTCATAAATACTTTTGTCAACTTTCTAACTAATGCCATAAATCAATATATTAACCATTTGATCATCATCTGATTCAATTATTAGTTTTGTGTCATTTTATCATGGAATCATAATTGTCTCATATTTGATGCGTGTCCTTGAATGCTCCTGATGACGATGAATCAAAAAATGATATGATTATGGCACACCCAAGTGTAGCCTATAAACACCTTTTATTATCGTTCTTCTTCTTCTTCTGATGATGATAATTATCTATCAAAATTTTTTTTCGCTATGACATGGAAGACTATCGCTAAGATTACAAATCTAGATCAATCATTATCATTTAATGAGAGAAGCAAATCTTATTATTATTTATTATTTTATGAATCTTTGTAAAACAAAACGCCCATAAAAATGTCGTTATACAATCAAAACATCTATAATTCGATCATCATCATCATCATCATTATTGAAATTAGAACGGAATCGATATGGATACACTTGAATCCATTCTTTTCATCCGTCATTAAGATGCAAGATCAATGCTAATAGTATAATCGTGATATCATCATTACATCCGTCCGTATCATATCCTATTGAACAATGACCAATAACGCTTATCAGTTGCAAATATATCAAACACATATCGGTAACTGATGATGGATAACATAGATGATCTACATTCGATGAAAAAGAAAAAAATTCATAATTCAATTTTATCAAACAAATATCAACAATGGCCAAAACACCGCTTTATATCCACATTTAGGAAGTTGAAATTTATTTTTTTTCCCTTTTCATATGACTGATTTGACAAACACACATATGAAAAGAGAAAGTTCGTCAACAACAACAACAACAACAACAACAACAAGAAAAAAAAACATGTAACGAGAATTTTTGAATTGAGAAAAAAAAATGGTCTTGTTTCATCCATATCATCACCATCTTTAAATGGCTTGTGTTCAACATATTTGGTATGTATGTTTGTCATATAATGATAATAATAATCAAACAAAAAAAAAACTTTTCAAGCAAAACGGTTTTTTGTCGACAAAACAAAACAAAACAAAAAAAAAAAATCGAATCCATTTGTGGTATGTAAAGATTTTGAATTGAAAATGGTATGTTTTTGTTTGTTTGTTTGTTCAAAAAAACACTGGTTTTAATTTTTTTTTTTTTTCTGTTTTCTTTTCCTGTATCAGATTTTTTTTTTGTTTTGTTTTGGTGATCATTTGGATCGAATTTCACTCGTGGACATTTAAATAATGGACTAATTTATTATTTTGGAATGAACATTTGTATATAATACACACACACCCGAACAGAAAATAATATGGCAGAAAACATGTTACACACATAAGCAAAGGAAATGAACAAATACGCCCAATCATCAGCATAGAAAAATGACAAGGTGTTTATAATGTGTCGTTTAAATTCCGTCATTTGGACTTGTGTGTGTGTGTGTGCAATGAACAAACGAAAAGAAAAACATTCATTTGGAACATTCGATTTTCGGGGAGTGTTCATCATCGTTTTTTTTTGGGCGTCGTCATTATCGTCAAATGTTGGATCATCGTTTGTTGTTGTTTTTTGATCCGAAAATGTTAATAACATTTTACCATTGATTGGTAATTTGATCAATAATGACGAGTTTTTTTTTAAACAATTGGTATTTATTAAGGTGAATGTCTTTTTTTTGACTGTGTGTTCCGCATCCAATTGATTTTTTTTTATTTACCCTAAAATAGAGACGAAATAAGACGCAACTTGGATATAAGACGCAGATGTTTTTATTATCTCTCTTAAAGAAACGTATTATGTATGAGGATATTTTTCAACCTTTTCTCATTGTATAAGATGCCTCCTTATGGTCGTGATTTTATGGTAATAATAGATTTGATTGGATTCAATTTGAATCTCAAAATGAAATGAATCGATTGTTGTTATTTGTTGTTGTTGTTGTCAATCACAAGTAATCAAATGGAATTTATCTATCATTTTACATCGCATATTATTATTATTATTATTGTTTTATTTCAACTACATATACATGTGGTCATTTGTATACCAAAATGACCACATTGTTTGTCCAGCGATAATCAAATTAAAAACGATAATAATAATAATGTCATCAGAAAGTGGTCAATAGTCCAACGATTGAATAATATTGAAATGACGATTGAACTTTTTTTTTTTTTTTTTTTTTTGTTTCTGGAAAAACAACATGACAACATTCTACATTTGTAATTGCACACACACACATTGATCATTTCATTTCATATTGGCCGATATCAATCAATTGGCTTCAAGATGAAAAAAAATGAAGTAAGACAAAAAAAAATTTTTTATTATCTTTTTTTTTCCATATATTCATAATCATAGTTTTGCCATTCTTTTTTTTTTTGCAGATAACGTCATCATCATCATCATATATTTGGCACATAGTAATCATAGATAGATTGATCTGCGTAATAATGAAATATATCGATATCGATATATATTTGAAATGGTAATCTTTGATAATCAATTTTGTTACTATTAATGGAATCAATCAATATACAAGTTATGGTGAGTTTTGTTTTGTTTTTTTGAAATATATAAAAATGAAATGAAAAGAATTGCTATTCCTGATATGATGATGATCATCATCATAATTGATCCAGTTTTTTTTCTTTTTTTTTTTCCTTTCACGAATTGATCTTTTCTTTTCTTTTTTTTTTTTTTTTTGTTCGACAATGCCATGATGATGATCGGATCAATCGAAACATCAAACAGCTGATAATGTTTATCAAATCAACCAAATTATCATCAACCTGAATGAAAATAAATCTCCAATGTAATTCGGCTGCAACATCATCATGTTTGTGTATGATAAATGTTAAGCCCATTATCATTATATAATCGGGTTGATTGATCGATAGATTTTCGATCGTTTATAGTGAGACTTAATCGTGAAATAATAAAATTGAGATTTAAGAAGGGAGAAGTTCAAGCATATCATTAATTATCATCACCATCACCGTCATCATCATTATTGTTATTGGATTTCGGATTTTTTTTGCAAGATTATTTGAAGATTTCAAAAAAAATCATTGACCGGATCGATTCTTATTGTTTTGTCGTCAATCGTATTCAAATGAAAAGATTTTTTCTTTCAGTTTTCACTCTAATAATGATGATGATGATGATGATTGTTTTCATTCAATCAACATTCAATTTTACCACTGACCGATATACAACTTTTCAATTTTTGTTTTCGAAAAAAAAAAATGTTCATCATGACGATACACCCATGTGTGGATTTTATTTTACAAATTTGAAAATGAAATGCATATTATCCAAGGTGTAAGTAGTTGTTTTTCATGTTTGGTTATTCGATGATTTAATGATTCATGTATTTATTTTTCCCTTATGATTAGTAGCAGTAGTAAAAAATACCTATTGTCATTCATTCATGTGTCTGGAAAATTTTTCCCCTTCAACTAATCTATTTTAATTTGTGTTGCAGAACCAAAAAAAAAAAAAAAAAAAAAATTGGATCACGACCATTTCCATGAATTTCATATTGATATCATAATAATAACTGAACGGTTGTCACAATGAATTTCAATGCAAAAGAAAAAAAATTTCGAAAATTAAATTAATTGAAACAAACGAAACAAAACAAAAAAAAAACGCCACCACCCGACAACATCATCATCAATGATAATTGCATTTTTTTTTTTTCACTTTTCATAAAACGATCACCTAAAACCTGACATAATAATTGGTATTATTTAACAAAATGAAAAATGATTTTCAACAACAACAAAAAAATTGTTGTTTATTCGGAAGAAAATGAAATTGTCCACTAACCTGAAAAATAACTTTCCCGACTGTTGAACACATAATAATGAGCAATGCATTTGGACAGCGTTTTTTTTTTTTTTTGGTTGGAAATTTAAAACGACTTTTTTACCGACGAAATCAGACCAAATTTTTGGCATAAACGTGATTTGAAAACATGACAACCACTGACAACTACCGCCATTGGGTCCGAATTCAATGAACCATTTTTTGGTCAGTCATTCATTTATTCAACCAAGTGAAACGAAAATATTATCTTTTCTCATCGTTATTATCGTTGCTGCAGACACAATGTTTCTTGGACGAAAATTTTTCAAATTCGAAATCTCTATACTTTGAATCTAAATTCATAGATGGCGCCTTTTTATCAGAAAAATTTCGAATCATTTTTGCCGATTAATTCAAGTTAAAAATGAATTTTTTTTTCGTTTTCATGATACGACAACTGAACATTTTTTTCCATACAAATCGATCAACATTATGTGGCAAGAATGACATGTTTTTATTTAAACTTGTCAATCAACTAAATGCCAATTGTGAGCATATTATAGACAAGTGAACAAACACAATACTGAGGTATAGCCAGGTAGGTAGGTTCTGTATAGGTAAGGTATTACACAGACACCTGTTTGTATCATCATAATGATCATTGTATCATATATCAACCTTGTAAACTATCGAATACAACAACAACAACAACAACATTCCTCATTTCATTAATAACAATGGTCAGCTGAGAATGAAAGAAATCATGAAAACAAAAATGGGCTGTGGCTTGGTGATTACCTTCATATTTTTTTTTTTCTTCGTTGTATTTCGTTGCCAGGTAAATAATAGTGTACAGGAATGAATATATATACTGATTATGTTTAACTTTATATATTTCATTGAATGAAAGTGTTATGAGTAGTGAAGCTTAGCCTTTAAATTTTGTTTTTTTTATAGCCATTGATTGTTGAACAAATCAGTAGCCATTCCATTCATTCATAATTTTCTTTTTTTTCCAAATCCTTTTTTATTGATTGATTGTTTGTTTGTTTGTTTGAATGTGTATTTATATGCCTGTGCGTCTACCAAAAAAAAAAAATAATGATTATTTTTGTTTCACCCATAGGTATTATATCAAATGAATGAACATTTGTTTAATTAGTGTATCGGTAACACTACTTTATCAAATGTGAATTTTATCTACAATTCTCATCATCATTACGATTAACAAATGCACACGTTTTGTATTTGTGGCACGTTTTCAAACATTTAAAAACCAACTGGCGTTTGTGTACAAACCAACCAAAACATTTTGGATTCATCTTGTTTTGAGTCTATGTGTCATCCATATATCACAATATATAACAACCCGAATGTACGAATAGACGAGTCTTGTTTTTTTATTTTATTTTTGGCCACTACCAATCGGGTCCAACTTTTCGAAACTATAGAATTCAATCTGCTGAATCATTCATATGGAATGCTACGACGTCGTTCCCGTCATTGTTATTATTGTTGTTATTCCTTCTATACTTCAATTAGTTATTATCGGGTTTGATTCATTCGATTCAAACAAAAAAAAAAACTCCCGAATCCGGGTGAGTAGCATTATTGAAACAAGCCCATTTCTATTGTGTATAAGTGTGTGTGTGTGATACATCAACATCATTTTTTCAATAACAATTGAAACTGGAAAAACAACATTCAAATATGAATGGCTAATGATGATGGATTCATCCATATATGATGCTCACAGATTGTCATTCATTTAAATTTATATATGTGTTTCATTCAAAAGAGATAAAGACAACCAACGATATTTCAATATTGTCATATATTCGACTCACTGCTCATCATTATCGTCATTGATGATAAAGCAATAATAATAATAAAAATTCAACCGAACAAATGAAGTGAAATTAATGATATGTGATAGTGATGTGTGATGACAACAATTCAAAAGGAATGAAGCAATCATTGCAATTGTTGATGGATATGATATATATATACACATGAAATGAAAATGAAATGAAAAAATAACAATCTATCTCTAGCATGAACAACCGCACTTAATGTCACCATCATCATCCAATTTTTGTTGTTGTTGTTGTTGTTGATGATATTGATTCAAAATACTCGAATAATAATCTTCCTTAATTTGATAATAGTCAAAACACATCCTATAATCAACGAAAACACTATGGTGAAAATATCAAACTTAAACGTTTAACATTGATCCATTTGAATACTCGACACAATTATTGATTGTGATTTTTATGTAAACAAACAATTTCAGTGCTTTGAAATTCATCTAGTCTTTGGCAACGGCAACAACGAAGAATTCTCAAAAAAAAAAAAAAAATTTGATTGGTAACGATTTTCTTTAATTATTAGATCTCTATTATCATTTACCTTATTTGATGCTCATTCATTTTATTCTTTTCTCTTTTTTTTTCATTTTATCTTTTTATGGAAATCCAGCATTTTTATATTATGCTTCGCAAGTATTATCCATTATATCGTTTTTTCCTTGCCCATTGCTTTCTATGTTTCACATTCTTTTTTTTCCATTTTCCATAGTTTTTACAATGAAAACAATATGTATAGATTATAATGATGATGATGATGATGATAATGCCAAAATATCAATTAGTTGTATTGGATACCGGTGATTAACGGTTAGAGCTTTCAGGATATAAAAATAAATATAAACATAGTGAACCAAAATGCAAATTTTCTCTAATCTTTGACAAACACATGTACAAAAAAAACCACATCATCATCATCATCATCATCGTAATAGGAAATTCGACAATATCGATAAATATCGATTGGATAGATCTTTATTGATTCATTTAAAAGTACAAGTATTGCTCATTCGATAGCTGTTGAAATTATTTTTTAATTTAATTTATAATTGATTAATGTTGAAAGACAATAATTGGCAAAATAGAAAAATCTATATCCCACCATTTACACGCACACATCATGTGTTGTTGTCAATCAAACAACAACAACAACAACATCGAAATAATGATGATCTATCTTTATAGAATGACAAGAATTTCTATTTGTTCGATGATGATCAACAACAAATAAAACTACAACAAAAGAAAAGTTCATCATCATCATTGGTGTCAATCACGAGTTTTTTTTTAAATCGATCATAACAGTGATTCTAATCAAAATGTCCCCATTGATCTTTTGCTCTTCGTATCGATCGGTTCGATATTTATTGTTTTCGCCATTCATTCAGTGTATAGAAATTTTTCTACGAAATGAATCAAAATGATTCAATCAATGATCAACATCATCAGCAATCAGATCCAGCATTGAATGATGATAATCAAATTAAAATAAATTTAAATTATAATTTTGTGTCCTATGAAGATCCGAATCATTTGAATGAATTATTTGGCCATAATAAAGGTGATGATGATGATAGCAAATCATTGGATGAGATTACATTCCGTTATGAACATCATCGTAGTGAAACATTTGCTCATTTTGTTCAATTTCCTTCTTCCGATTCAAAAGAAGATTCGTTAAATTATTCATCATCATCGGTATATGATGAATCGGATGATGATCATCATCGAAAATTTCGACGACAAATATATGAAGAAGATTTTCGAGTAAAAATCATTCCTGATGTATCGCCAACAACAATCGTAGATGATAAACAAGAAGAAGAAGTTCAACAATCTAAATCACGGAAATTATTCCCTAGGCAATTGTCCAAATGTTTAAGTTCAACAACAAATGATTTGCATTCATTATTTAAAAAACTTTCCTGTTTAAAACGTATCTCATCTGTTGTCGATTTAACTCATCATAAAACAACCGAAACTTTATTGAAAAAGAAACCTCGTCGTCTTACCTATCAGAATGGAAAAACATTGACCAAATCTGATATAATACATTGTCAACAATTTGATCAAATCAAAGAATCAAATGATGCTAAACAACAACAATCGTCGGAAAATTTAGAAAAATCATCATCATCATCATTAATAGTTCCTAAATTACACATCGAGGTATCTTGGTCTATCTCTTCTGATTGAATATTTCATAGATTAAATAGACTCCATTCATTCATCATACAAAATTTGACATTATATATAACTATTTGCACACCATTTTAAATGGATTAATCGTTCTTCATCGTTTTGAGCATGAACATTTTGATTCATTCGCATGGCCTTTGTCCTAATTAGCGGATTTTTGTTCAAGTATCTAGCACAAAACTTTCGATTGACTGTGGAACAAAAATCACTAAAGTATTTCCACTACTGTAACCAAAAAAAATCCATTGACAACCATCCTATAAACTTGTACATTATGCCCGTGCTCGTTATATGATTAATTCTTGCTTCCGCTATTTTTTTTCCTTCATCTTTTTATATATATTAACCCTTTTTAAAAATTGCTTTCGTCATTAATTTTGTTTTTGTTTTTCAAATTACTTTTTCACAGGAGATTACCATAAATGGTGACATTCAAATAGAACAAACCGACCCAGTGCAAGAGACAAGTAGTACTCGTTTCGATAGTCAACAAACCTCGACAAAAATTTTCGATCCAGATCATAAACTTGATGATCATCAAACATTTATCATATATTCGTCTTCAGAACCTGCAAATGATTTGAACAACATTAATACTCATCATCCTGAACAATATACAATTTCACAATCAATTTCATTGTCAAATTTTCATCCTGTTCCGAAATCAAAACAATCATCAGAATCAGTTGATTGTGTTGAACATTCTTCACCATCAAATTATCGTTCAATTTGCTTACCTTCAAATCATATACATCTTCCGCCCGCTCAATCGCCAGCTACAATTATTAATTCTGAATCAGAATATTTCTCACATTCAACGGATAAGAATAAAAAGTCAAAAATGATTGCAAATCAACAGAACAATCATTTTGAATCACAAAATTCTCAACAAAATCAGCCTTCATATGTGAATATTAGTCGTGTAAATCATGGTTATGTTCCATATAATCGATATACATCCGAATATCGACGTGACGATTCTCTACTACGTAGTCCAGTCGAGGATCGTTTCACAAGTCTTCCAGTGGGATCTTCGAAAGGATTTCTCCACAAAAAAGTTGAAAGTCTTTATGGAGAATCATTCGCTGATGATTGGAACAAAAGTCGTGTTAAAAAAGGTCAATCGATTGAAAAAAGCATCCATCCTAATACTACCGAAACATCTCCGACCAATCAAATCAAGACAACATTGGCAAGCAGTAAATTGTTTCAGAAAATAAATTCCGTCGATAATTCTGGTAAATTGAATGATTAATTAAATTAATGTCTAAACTTTTAAAATTTTATTTATTTTATTTCATAGAATCATCAGAAGACAATAAATCGAATAACAACTCTTTCGATAAAGACTGGTGGCTAAGGGAACATCAACCGCATTCACATAAAAATCATGATGGCCAAGCATTTATGGAAAAAATCCAGGAACAAAAAGCCCGAATACAGAACAAGATACAACAAGGTGAGAAATGGCTAGCGAATACCAAAGACATTCCCGAAGAATGTATAGGAAAGATTCGATCAGCCATTGGCAAAGCAAATCTTTTATTGGATAAAAAATTTCAACAATTTCAAAAACTATGCGAAGATAGTATTGTAAGCATTCTATTTTCATTATCTAATGATTCATTATTAATTGTTTACTACTCTACTGATTACTGGTTGTATAGAATCAAGCCGATGGCGAACAATTCAAGATTCAAAGTGATGATCTTCAAGGATTTTGGGACATGGTCATGATACAAGTTCATGATGTGAATCAATCATTTGATGAATTAATTCAATTTAAACAGAATCATTGGAAACCATCACCACAATTGGATCAAATAGATTCCAATTCTAAAACTGTAATTTCAAATGAGTTGGCCAAGTTGGCCAAATTCCTTAATTTAATAATGTCATGATTTATGTTCCTTTTTTTTGTTCTTTGGGTTTCTTACCATTCACGATTCGATGTCTATCTATTTGTGATCATAATTGATTGATCGATTCCTTATCTGTTTTTTTGCGTCTAATTTCTTTTTCACACAGATGAGCCCTAAAATCGGATCACGACAACCATCAAGCAATATGACCACCATACATAACAATACATCATCACCAAGAAAATATGATAATAATAATAAAATAACTGCCAACATAAATAGTCCACGCAATGAAGAACGACAACGTCGTCTAATGGAGATAAAACGACGCGGTAAAATGACAATGAAACAAGATTCAGATGAAATTCGGATATTTGCTCCATCCAAATAACATTCTCGACACACATACAAACAAACCGTATGAATTTTCCTTCCGTCAAAATTCCTTCATCGATTTATATTATATTTAGATTAATTTACCAATGGCATATATTTTTTAGCTGCTCATATTTTATGAGAGTGCCTCACAAAATTTTCGCACTCGAGATTTAGATTTTTTTAACCAGATAAAAAATGACAATGTTCATGATTGATTAAAAATATGGTTACCTCACCAGAGATGATATTTATTATCATTGATCGGAATTTGAGATTGACAATTAAAAATTTCACATCTTTTACATTTTGGCTTGATTTGGCTATCTGACTGTTTCACGGAAACGAAGTATAGCCGGTACCGATGTACAAGGTAGGAAACCTTTTTCAGTGATAACAGCTGATATCAATTCTCGTGGAATTAGATCATAAAAAAGATCTAGAAAATTGAGATTTGCAGCAATGTTTGGATCATCATTATAAAGATTTGCATTCTTTGATGAGCAATCAAAAAAACTTTTCATTGAATCAGCACCTAAATCCAAAAGAAAAAAAATTGCCAACAATTACAATGTGATTGCTGTGTCTTTCGCTCACCTAGTTCGTTTTGTATGAAACAATCGGTATATGCTTGATCCGAATATTTATATGTTTCGCAGCAAACAATTACTGGAACATTATATGCTTGTGCAACCAAAGCTATTTGTGATGAACCAACTGTTGACATGACATAACCATTACATAGTACTGAATGAGCTTCTAATATCACTTTGTCCACCTGAAACATTCAATTATATATTGAAATTAATGATCATTCAAAATCAATCAATTGTACATACCTTTTTCATTACGTATAATATAGCATTGATCAAAACATAGGTGGTAGGAATATGATGTTTAGTTAAAAATTCAACCATTTTTCGGCCTTCAAATCGAGGACTAGTATCGACAACAATAACATTGAATTGAACATTTTGATCAATAGCATTCAAAAATATTTGCTGCATTATCGTTGAACAGCCTAATGTCAGGATGGTTTGTGTTTCTTTCGAATTAATTGGAAAAATTTTCAATGCATGTACAGCCGATATTGCATCACGCGAACACATTATTTCGTCATGAATAAATGTATGGATGGCATCACAAACTTTTGAACGAAAATTCGAATCATCCAGACCGGAAGATATTCGTGAAAAGATCATTTTCAAATGCATGATGGCATTGATCATACTGATTGATAATGGACGACATTTGTGTATAAATAATTCACAATCTTCAAAAAGAATTTTCTGCAATTCTCTTTTAATATCTTTAATGGGTTGATATTGTTTGATCACTTCTTGGAAGGCTACCAACATGGCTACGCAACGGGCAGTCGGATCTTCGATCAAATCTTTGTTGATCTGATAACCAATCTTGATGACGATTGGTGGCACTGAATCTGTAGGAATTTTATTCAAATCAGAAATTCTTCGTGGAAGATGTGAAAAAATTTTGATCGGAAGCTCTTTGTTAGATAAAATGGATTCTTGTTTGGCAAGGCTAGGAATCGTTCTATTTTTGTGCTCATCGATAGTCATTTTATCAGGCGATTTCAATTTCATTCGTACATTCGTATCGACCGGTTTAGAATTTTTTGATTCACCAATAGCAGGTTTTAATTTCTGAGCTTCAATCTGTTGTTTTGTTTGTGACGATTGTTGACCTGCACCGGTTACAGATTTTGCGGCACGTTGTGATTCTTGTAAAGCTCGACGTTCAGCTTTTAATTCTGCTTTTGTTTTGGTTGTTTTATCATTTTCGGTTTTTTTCTTCAATTCAAGTTCTTTCTTGAATTTTGCTTCCTAATCGAAAAACAAATGAAATATAAAATTTTTCGGAAAAAAAACTTACAAATTCAGCCTTTCGTTGAGCTTTCAGCAAAGCTTTCTGTGCTTTTTCTTCATCTGTCGTCAGATTTTGTTGTTGTGGCATTTTTACTTTCTTGTTTTCCATAATTTAAACTTTGGTTAAGTTTTCTTTGATAGTCATACATTTGATTTGATCAATCAGAGACACAATATATTGTGCACAATGTGTTCGATATGAGCGTGGTAAATTTCTCGTTCATGTTTTAAGCACCGGGAAATTTTCCCAGAAATAAATTTTTTTTTGTTCAAAATCAATGAAAATGATGATAAATGATGAAAATAATTTTCTGATTTATTTAACAAATGAATAAATAAAGAATATGAGAATGAAAAATACAAATAAATTAAACAAATGATCCGATTTAGATCAGTGATTCTCAACCACTGTGCCGCGGCACTTTTGTGTGCCGCCAAATTTTAAATTGACCATTGATGCCGTGATACAGTGTGCCGCCAAATTTTGAAATCGTTAAAATTGTGCCGCGACAAAAAAAAGGTTGAGAATCACTGATTTAGATAAATAACAAATATTTATAAAAAAAGATTAATTTATGGATCTCGAACTTCGCTTGCCTCTTGGATGACATCGGCAATCACTTCATCAACAGTTTTCATTTCTAATGTTTCTTTCAATGATTCATCTTCGATGACAACAGTGAATAAAAGTTTAACATTTTCTCTGAGACGATCATAAAAATTATAATCTTCAGCTTTAACTGGTTCATGATTACATTGTTTAATCAATGATTCTAACAATAAATCCACAGGTTTATTTGGCCATCCATATCCTTGCAATAGTTCATGATTAACAACATAGGCTAATAGTTCACGAATAGCTTGACAAAGTTTATCATCGCTGATTTTTCGTTGCACAAGACGATATTCCATTTTGTTTATCAATTGTGAATTCTCTTTGTTTAGATTAGTATATTGTCTTTTATCGACAAAACAATGTTGAATGAGCAAATCATCGGCTTCATCACGATGAGCTTTACGAATGTGTCGCTTTAGGCAATCTTTACGAATGAATGCATGGCTACATTTTTTACATGATATCGGCTCTTCTTTGCGATGTGTCAACATATGAACATTCAATGAAGCTTTAATGGCAAAACTTTATGACAAGAATTGTAATAATGAGTATATAATGGAATAAATAAATGAAATATATAATTCGATTAGTTAGATTATTGAATTGAAAATCAAAAAAATTGAATTATATACCTTTTAGTACAATAAACACAATGATGATTTTTCAGTCCAGTATGTAGAAATAGATGGCGACTTAAATCTTCTTTTCGTGTGAATGCTTTTTTACATGATGGACAAATAAATGGTTTCTCTTTTTCATGTAGATATTTTTTATGCAAAGTTAATCGTGATTTACGATTAAATTGTTTGTCACATTGATCACATTTGAAACCATTCTGGCCAGTATGAAAGAATAGATGAGCTTTAAGATTACTTGCTTGTATGAATTCTTTACCACAAAATTCACATTTATGTGGTCTAATGCCTGTATGTATTTTTGAATGACGACTCAACGTTCCTTGTAATGCAAATCTATAACCACAAACATTACATTCGTATGGTTTTTCTCCCGTATGAACACGATTATGTTTTTGTAATGCACCATTATTGTTGAATGATTTTTCACAATGTGAACATTTAAACGGTTTTTCACCAGTATGAATTCGTTCATGAATGATCACATGGCTTGGTGTGTTAAAATATTTACCACAAACTTTACAGTCAAATTTTTTCTGTTTCGATGTTGTTTTGTCTACATGTTCCGAATGTTTTTTTCGTATATGTTGCTGTAAATTATCGTGACGAGTAAATTTTCGGTCACAAAAAGAACAATTAAATTTTTTGGCTGATCGACCATTCATCGATGTGAAACAAACATCACGAATATGTCGTTCAAGATGAGATTTTCGTAAAAATTCTTTCAAACATTTTGGACATTGAATAACATTATGTTCGGATTTTAAATGTTTACATAATTGTTCAATTTTTTCAAAAATCGACGAACATTTCGAACATTGATTTGTTATGCCATTAGCATGAATGGTGTGGTCGTTTGTGTTTTCAATACCATCATCATTCAAATCATAGATATTGTTGAGATCATCAGTTGGTTGAACATTTTTAGTGACATTTTTTGAGTTCTATGAATTATAATTTGAGAACCATCCACATGTTAGCCAAAAAAAAAATATTTTTGCCAAAAATAAAATGAATAAAACTTACATTCAAAGTTTTACGGCCATTATTATGTCCGATATGATTGTTATCAAAGTTTCTCGCTGTTGATGATCTAGTTTGTGGAGCCATTTTAGTGATTTATTCATTCGAATGATTGTCAAATCAACAAATAAAAATATCATACAAATTTTAAATTTCAATTTTTAAAAAAATATATAATAAAAATGTGTGATTATGCGCGCTTTTTTTTTATCTGGATCGATCGATGAACCAGTAAATTGCATCATCACACGGACGACATTTGCTCGAAACACACACAAAATAAATATAATCATCAGTCGAGCAAAACGATCAAATGTTAACAAATATATATACAAAAGCTTATTCTTCTTGTAGCTGTAGTCTGTGTGTGTGTGTATGGTATCCACACAAAAATCATTTACTTTTTGAAACGAACGAATTGAAAAAAAAATTAGACGACAGTTGAAATCTTAAAGCTCTACTTTGGATAACTGGCGCAATAATAACACACACACACAATCTGCGCGAGTGAATCACTCTCCGCCAAATAAAATATGTACAACCAAAAAGTGGTACACAAAAAAAAAAAAACAAAAAGAATGTAATGCAGTGAAGCCACACTTGTTGAGCATTTTTTTTCATGTTTGTGCTGCCATCTTTTGTTGTTATGGAAAAAATTTTATTTTTGAAATTGAAATAATATATGTATATCATTACGGGAAAAATATTGATAACAAATAAATAAATTTTTGAAAGAGATCTGGATATATAATGTATAGTGGATTTGAACAAGAAAAAAAAAAATAAAATGAACAATTTTTATGAATGATCACTTGAATGAAAACATTCTGAAATATCATCATGTTCAGATTGTGGCTGTTTGCGTTGTTGTTGTTGTCGTTGATTATTATGGACAACTTGAAGATTAGATTCAAATTTATCGGATAATGGAACCACCGATAATAAATCTGATTGTTCCATTGATGGCATAGGCATCAATACGGGCATTGGTGATTTTGACGGGGAACATGGAAAACGATACCAAGGTGATGTGATCATTTTATCTAAAAATTCACTTAAATATCTTAATGATAATGCATTATGTAATGTTTCTAATGGCCGGATTGTAGGTTGACCTGGTGCATCGATAACAACATTATCTTGTAAATTCGGTGTCGATGATGAACCACTTATTACAGCTGTGGAGAATAACGTTGATGTAGAACCGAATTGTTGATTCTCCGGAATATATAAACGCATCAATTGTGTTGGTATAGAATTTCGATATCCTTTACGAACTATATGGGAAATCAATTAATCAAAAAAAAAAATCAATTCATCGACTAAATTAATTATGCAACATACAACTTGTTGCTGAATGTCTTGGCTCACGGCCACCACCACCAGCTACGGAAACATCATTCCAGCTTAATGCAATTGAATTTTCCTTTTCCAATGTGGGCATTTTTTTGATTCCTTTAGTGTATCAGATGATTTTTCATTTTCCAGGCTATGTGCACGAGTATCCGATATTGAATAACTACGTGTGATTAGACCGGTTGTTTCTTCATTACTATTTGAAACTGTTTCATGTATTGTGAATAAAAAGAAAAAAAATGTTTCGATTTTGAATAATCATTATTTAAAATTGACGATATACTTTTACGATCAATCGAACAAGTCGAAACAGTAATCGGAATCGGTTGAGATTTCATTGATGTCTGTTCAACAATGGCCATGCTTGTTTTCTCACCTGGACTTTCCGGTTCTTCAATAATAACAGGAGAATCAATCTGAAAATTTACAACAAAGAAAAAAATTGATTAAAAATAATTCCATCAATTTTACACACATGTGATTTAATGTAATAATTTTTAATAAAATTCAAATAAGCAATCAAAAGCGGAATTAATTATCAGCAATAAAAAAATCATAAAGAAACAGAAACAGAAACAGAAACAAACAAACAAACAAACAAACAAAAACAGAAACAAAATTGAATGCATACACATATGAAATAAAATGAATTTGGACTCACAGCTTGATTGTTTGAAGCAAAATTAATAATCTTATTGATATGTTTATATCGACAGTGCGTAGAATTAATTATGGATGGTAATTGTGGATTTGTGTTTGAAGTTGTGCTGCTGGTGCTGATGTTTAGTTTATTATTTGTTGCTGCAATAGCTGTTGTAATTGTAGTTGTACAATTACTACAACAACAGGTGATAATCATTGCGGTGGTGGAATCGTTCAAAGCAATTTTATTTGTAGTCGATTGTTTGTGGTTGTTGTTGTTGTTGTTGTTGTGTATATCCATCGATGATAATTGATTATAATTCATTGTTGATTCTTGTCGTTGTTGTTGTTGCTGTATGACATTTGTTCCATCCATGAATACTGAATTAATCGTTGAATTTATTTCGTTATGATTAGTTTCATCATCATTATAACCAAATTCATCTTCTTCTTTAATCGAGCTCGGTAATGATGAACTCAATACAACTTTCTATCGAAATCAGTTGTATTTTTCATTTTTTACCACAAACATTCATTGGGACACATTTTTGTTTGTTTTGAAAAAGCATGGACAACAACAACAATAACAACAGTAACAACGAAGGACATAGAAATATATACATTTTAGTTAGATATTTTATGGATTCAATTGCATTTTTAAAGTTCAAACTATTTGCACTTTTTTTTAGTTATAAGCTTACACAAATACCAACACCAACTAACTAACTAACTGACTAACTGACTAACTGACAATTATGGGTGAATGTGTTCAAAGGGTAAGAGGTTGTGGTGGTGGTGGTGGTGGTTGTGATTCTTATTGACGGAAATGCATATCAAACAAATATAGAAAAAATATGGATACATACCTTTGTCTGTGTACTACGTGAACCAGTTTGTGTACGAAATCCAGGTCCTTTTGGAAGATTTTTTTGATTCAAACAACAAACAACACCGGGACTAAAATGTAATTCAACATGAAAACGATCATCTGATTTTGGATTTTTTGTCTGATCTTCATATAACATGATGACAATCTGTGTTAGATAATTTAATTCTGATATCACTGATATATAATCCATTGCTCGTTTCCATTGTTCATCTTTAGATTCATCAAACAGTCCACCTAATCCAAAAAAAAAAAAAAAAATGAAATTAGATATTTTGTGTGTAAAACAACAACAACAACAAACATCACCAACCTAAACGTATTACATTCAACAATGAATGTATATGACTTTCACTTGTAAAATAAAGTCTTGTACGAACATGACGACCAGGTGATGAAACACCATATGAATATTGTGGATTTAAACGATTCACTGATTCACCGGTTTCTGCATCAACACTTTCAGCATCGGTAATAATACTTAATAAATCAGCCTTGATTTTCTTCAACAATGGTGTACATGTGCCGAGGCCAATTGTCAACTTTTCATAAACATTTGTACCATATTCTTGTGGTATGACAATATCTGCCATTGCTTTTGCATGTGTATAAAAATCATGTGCATCGGATGATTGTAAAAAATGTTGATTATGTTGCAGATCATATTTAATACAATCATAAATATCCGGTATTTTTGTTATATCATATTTTCCACATTTTAATTTGAAATCTTTCTCCAATTTTGACCATCGTCTTTGCATCAAGTCCCATGTTTCACCATAATATAGATGTGCATCTTGTAAATGGCTTTCATTACGTCGTTCTTTGATTAAATTGTTCAATTTCTTAATATAATTATGTATCTGATCACAAGATTTCACTGGATTTTTAACAAAATTCATTGCATTCACAATCGATGGTGCTTTCATTGGATTCAATCGTTTTTCATCTTCATCAGTGAAATCATGATCTGATTGCATAAGTTCATGGATTTTCTGTTTGACCATATTCTGAAATTTACTTGAATCACAGTCATTATCTAATAAGCCATTAGTGTTGGCACTTTTAACCATTTGAACCAGAATTGGTGTCAATTCACCTTCCAATGCAAGCAAACCTTTAGCAAAAGCAGCAGCAGTCATTTGAACACGTCCTTCATCTGAAGCATAAATTTTCAAATCATGTCGGAATGTTGAATGTAGCCGTAAAAATCCTAGGCCTTGATTTCCTGAATATTCACCTTGACCACCGGGATACATACAACGAAATAATCTGCCCATTTCTTCGGCTTGAATTCTACCTCTTGGAGTTAATTCACCACCCCATTTAACAATACAAAGTAATGATGGTTCTCGAGGTAAATCTTTAATGTTAAATAAAAAAAAATTAATCAGAAAAAATTGAACAATTTTTTTCAATTTGAACTCACCTTCTTCACTACTAGAACGACGTGGTCGTCCTTTTGGTTGATATTTTAGTTGAACTTTACGATTGATGCCAGAAAAATGTCCATACATTTCGAGAACAGATTTTAATTGCTCTAATTTTGAACGATTTTCTTCAATTTCTGGATCATGATTTTGATCAATTTCACTAAGCAAATATCTTGCTACATCTAAAATCTCTTGTAATTGTTTTGGTTGTTTTAATTTAACATGATGTTGATTATCCTTGAAACCACCATAATTTTTGAATATTTCAAAAAATTTTGGATGTTTAACTTCCATTTTCATTTTCTGTTTTGGTGTACGATCACCGTGACGTATGACACCGACAACACAACGAAGTTCCATCATTTTACCAAAAGTTGTAGGCATAATCGGTGGATCGTCTAATTGAAACGGTATTGACCACGGTATATGAAGCTGTGGTGCTAATATTCGTAATATCATGTTACCCAATAATTTCGAAGCATCATCATAATATTTCATTGAATTTTTCACGAATGAAAATCCATTCACATCACATACATAGGATATTCCGTTAGCACGTAATAAATCAAAACCACATACTGTTTGTTTAAAGGCTAAACAAACTTTTCTTGCAATCAATTTCTCTGCATTGCTCAACATTACTGGATATCGAACCTCTTTACCATCTTTATCACGTTCAACTTTTCCATCTAATGCAGGCGATTTTCTTGCTTCAGCATGTGCATAATCTGGTCCAACTGTATAGACCTTCACATCGGTTCCATCGGTAGGCATAAATTCTTCGTAAATATATGAACCAGTTTTTCGTACTTGACTTTCCTGTGAATACACTGATGATCTTGAGCCAATTTTTCGAAATAAACGTTGACTACCACCACCAGCCGATGATGGATAATAAATATAAATATTATGATCTTCAGCTGATATTGGTTTTTCCACAAATGGTTTATTAAATACAACTCCATTCACTTCGATTGAATCTTCACTTTCAATGAGTACACCTTCATCTGGATTCGGTGAATCACGATCAAGTACAACATAACGAGGTAATTCGATTCCAGAATCTTCAATTGTCTTGTAAACTTTACGTCGATCTTGTATATCATATTGCAAATGAAGATCATTAATAACGAATGGTTCACGAAGATTTGCATATTCAATGGCTTTATTTAATGGAAATCCTTTCGAATGAAATGATATCAAACAATCAACGATTGGCCATTCATTCACTGGTGATTCCAATATAATTGATTCATCGAATACGATTGTACGTATATATTCAAATTCATTTAGTCGTGAAAGTATTTCTTTCATTGGTTTTGATTGTGATTTTTTTGACATAGCACAAATACCAACTAGAACTTGTTTTTCTTCTTCAACATCATCATCATCATCATCATCGTCGATTTCATCTTTTTCATAATCATAATTATAATCATCTTCAGCTGATTTTTGTTTTTGTTCACAACCAATTTCTAAATCGCCAAAAGTCTAGAAAAATAATAGACAAAATAGACAAAATGGTTAAATCTTTTTTGTTTGAAAGAAAAAACTCATTTCCATTAAAAAAAAAGATTCGAACAAAAATATACCTCTAGATCGAAAAACATTGGATTTTTATTCTATTTTTTTTTTTCGTCAAGCAATGAAAAACAACATCATTGATTCGAACATGAAAAATGATGATGATCATGATCATGATAATCTGCGTTTGTTTGTCTTGTATATCAACACCATCATATGATCATCATTTATTATTATTATGTTATAAATATGAATGATGATTTTGTATATGGAAACAAAAAACTTGCTTACTGTAATAAAAATCTGAACACTCACACTGCTCATATGAACATCTGAACATTTTGTTTTGTCTGAATAAATGCTGAATAAAAAAAAACTAGAATCAACTGGTTTTCATTTCATTTAAATTTTTTTTTTTTTCCTGTCCGTTTTCACTCGTAATTCAATGCGTGTGGTGTTGATGATTACAATTTTTTTTCGATTAGATTCCCCCTTCACTCATCATCTTGATGAATGAAAATGAAATCAAAATCAAATCTGTCAGGATTTTTGTTTTTTTTTAACCGGAGATTATCGTTCGTTCTAATCATGTGGTGAATATGTAGAAAAACAAACTAAAGAATACACATACTTTTTCATCATTTGTTATATAGAAAAATGGTCGCCCATGACGATATCCTTTGATCTTTTTTCGTTTCCTTTTATCTAATGATGATGGTCGTAATTGTTGTTGTTGTTGTTGTTGAGAATTCGATACCGATGATGATGATGATGTTGATGTTGATGGTGATGATGATGGTTTCATTGTTGATAATGTCCAAATATTCAAGTCATCTCATTTTTAAAAATTTTGAATTCAATTTTTCGTTTCAAAACTAACTAACAAATACTGTTGATGATGATGATGATTATAGCCGCCAATTAGATGCAAAAAGTCAAGATGACTTTATCTTTGACCAAAACAATTTTTTTTATGATGGATTCTTGAATCGGCACAAAGATGGCGCCAAGATAGATTATTTGTTTGAGATCAGATCATCAAAATAGTCCAGCTGATGACGGCAACAATTTTTTTTTTGTTAAAATTCTTTCATCGAGTTTTTCTTTAAAAAAATCATGGATTCCAATAATAAACCAACAGATTCTGCAATATTATTTCTGGATTCGGCATTCGAACCGAAACAGCCATCAACTAATCAACAACAACCGATGGATGGTCATCAAATATTAAATCAAGTTCAATTACAATTCATACCTACTGGTAATGAAAATTTATACGTAACCGGACAGATACAAAATGCACAACAACAACAACAACAGCAGCAAGAAACAACAAGATCATATGTGATGGAACCATCGGTTATTGTTACTGGATCGAATCAACAGCAAAAAACTCGTGATACAGATTTTCTTGTCGATAATGATGATACACAACCGATTGATCTTGGATCACCCGTTAGATCGCATGATGGAACAACCGGTAATGGAAATCATAAAAAACTTACCATATGGCAATTCGATTATTATGCAAGATATTTTGATATTACAACGGATCAATTTTTTCGTCGTATCATCTGGTCACTGGTTCCATTGACAATGGGCAATGAAAAAGGAACATATATTGATCGATATATTCATTCGAATCCGGATCTTTATGGACCATTTTGGATACCACTTACATTAGCATTCACCATTTCATTTTGTGATGATATCATACGATATATGAACATCAATTCGATCACATCGGCTACAACAACAACGATCACACCCATAGGTATAGATTCGACAACAATGAACAAAACATTGATACCATCACCACCACGACCACCACCGCCACATCATCATCCATTGGCATTCGAATTTGAACGTATCAATATGGCAATGACAATTACATTTTCCTATGTTATTCTTGCTCCATTAATATTATGGTCATTTTGTCAATGGCGTCGTTGTTCAAAACTTTATACATTTATCGAATGTCTTTGTGCATATGGTTATTCACTATCATTGTTTGTTCCAGTCACCATTTTAGCCTTGATCAATAATCGACAAATACAATTCATATTTTTTGCTTCAGCTGCATTCCTTTCTGGTTCAGTTTTGCTGATATCTTTCGGGCCGGTTGTTCATTCGGATCCAAGTCGTTCGTTTAAATTTGCATATGTTATGCTTATATTCATTCTTATATCTCATATTGTATTGGCATTATTTTATCTATACATGTTTCTTTAGTTAAATTTGATTACAGAAAAGTACAAAATAATAATAAAAAAATCACTGATTTCAATTTATATATATCTAATCTAAGTACGTTTAAATTACAATTGTTTCAACATTAAAAACATTCTTATCGATTCGGGCAAACATAATTGTTCGATTAATTGATCAGAATTTTTTCCCAAAAATTTTCTCAATGAACAACGACATAGATGCATTAAACGTGGAAAATATGGCCATCGTTGTAATAGGAAACGTTTGATTTGTTGAAAATTTTTCGTATCTTCATCCATTTGATATTCATCGGATAGATAATGATGTATTAATAATTGTTGTAAATGTTTTGTTGAAATGAATGGCATTATCGCTATAGCTTGTCTAGCTAGAACATATTTACGATCACGTAATAATGAAAATATTGGCGTTTCACCATGTGAATTTTCCACACAAACATTGGCACCATTTCGTATTAGTTTTTCAGTAATTGAATCTTGATTACGATCAATCGAAATATTCAATGCAGTATCGCCAGGTGTCAATACGGGCGCCTGATGACAATATTCAAATTCACGTGCATTTACATTACATCCATGATCAATCAATAGCTGCACTGTTTCTACACCATCATCAAAATGATCACTAGATCGTCGAATAGTGGCCAACAATGGTGATATACCAGCTTTGTTTGCTTCATCTGGATCACAACCAGAACGTAATAATAACTTGATTAGACGTACATTTATACTATAATTCTGAAGTATGGCAGTTAATAATGGTGTAAAACCAGAATTATTTTTCGTATTAACATTAGCACCACATGCAATCAAATATTTGACAATATCCAAACGAGCATTCGATGGAAAATGTAAACAAGCTTGATGTAATGGTGTATTTGAATTAAAAGAATCGGCCATTTCAATATCGGCACCAGCTTTGACAAGAATTTTGACTAGTTCTTGTAATGTTTTTGTAAAAAAAATAAAAAATTTAGATCAGATAACGATCACATTCCCATTAAACATCACTTACCAAGTGAATTTGATTCAATAGCTGCTAATAATGGTGTCTGTGCTTTCAATGAAGTGACATTTGGATCTGCATCAGCCATAATCAATAACGATGCTATCGATGGATGAACAAATAAACATGCATAATGTAATGGATATAAATATGAACGATCCATCATATTGACATTGGCACCATTTTCAATAAGAAATTTAACCATATTTATATGGCCATTTTTAACACTTAAATGTAATGGTAGCTCTTGACGATGATCAAAAAATGTATTTATATTCACCATATGAATGACCGTTCGTGCAAGATCAATATCATTTGTAACGATGGCCGTTTGAAATATGTTTTCCATTGTTTTCCAGGACATTTTTTTGCGTTTTGTTTGTAGAGACAGACACAGGTAAACACACAATCATTGGATGAATTCATTCAGAACAATTCATTTTCGGGTATATGAATAAAGTTTGTTTCATTTTTTTTTTTAATATTTGAGAAATACCTCTCTATAGAATAATTACTACCACCACCACCACCACCACCCAATGAATGAACAGACGAGTTTTGCCAATGTAAACAGAATGTTTGTGTGTGTGTGTGTGTGCTCATCAAATGATCATCCAGAATGCAAATTCGACACAATGAATCATACATGATTTGATTATGAAATATCCATGAATCAAGGTCGATTTTTAATCAATAATTGATTTCTATGAAAATAACGATTCCAAAAAAAAAAAAAACAAAATAAATAAGAAAAGAACATTTAATTGTTATTCAATAATAATAATAAAATAAAACACATTCGAATCGAAATTGGCATTAATGTAAACATCATCATTTGAATGAAAAAAAAGACGGAAAGAATAATGGAAAATAAAAGACAAAAATCCACACACACACACACACACACACACAAAAAACGGAAATTAAATTAAATCAACAAAAAAACGTGTGTGTGTGTGTGTATGTGAAATGTTTTTGGCAATCGAACGAAAAGTAAAAAAAAAATGAAAATGAAACACAATATGCACACACACACACACACACACACACACAACATAGCAAAGGAAATGGAAAATTTGTCGAAATACACAAATCAATCAATCAATCAATTAATAATTGGTGTACACATCAAAATTGAAAAAAAAATGTACAGAGAGAGAGATTATTCGCATAAACATACAAAGAATTCTGGATGATATGATATGGTCAGAAGAGCGGAAAAAAAAAAATGCACACACACAAACACACACGAAAAAAAGGTTTATAAAAGGTGAATGTTAAGTACAAAATGAAAAAAAAAATGTCAATGAGTCAAATGAGTATATATTATCACTTGTAAATATTATAAATGTTTCAATGTTTGTTGAATAATTTGAAAATTTAAAATTAACTAACGGATGTTTTTTTTTTGTTTTTGTTTCCAAAGCTTGAAGCTATTATTTATACATAGAAATTGATAATTAGAAAAAAAAATTCATGTGTCTTAGAGAGATCATTATGTGTGTGTCTTGAAGTGGTCTTGAAGAAAAAAAACAAATGTATACGAAAATATTTTCCAAAATTCTTCATTTTTTTTCATTCTCTTCTTCCAGAAAATGAGGCACAATATTGACAATTGATCTTGATTTTGTTACTTTTGTCTTTTGTTTTGTTGGATGTTAAATTATGCAAATTAAAAAAATTGATTGATGATGATGATGATGATTTATGGCTGGAGAATAAAATGGAAAGAATTTATCAATATTGGTGATGATGATGATGATGATCATGAAATACGACTAGAATCTTGATGTTTTTTGTTTTGTTTTGTTTTTTTGATTAAGGGAAAAAAATTCGGCAAAATAATTCATAAATGGAGAATAAAAAACGAGGTTCCAAAAACATATATATAGAAAACAAAGTGTTGTCCATGTTGTAGGCATTGACTAGCGCGATATATCTGTTATTTTTTGTTTTAGTTCAAAATTAATTGACGTTTAATACCTGAGCAAAATCAAATCAAATCAAATCATTATCATCATCATCATTAAGATCATAAATAATCCGGGCCATTCAAAAGTAGGCAGAAAATAAAACTTAAGCAGCCATATCGAATGTGCTTATATATTCAAGTATAGCTCGATAACAGAATTGATATTGATCTTCAGTCTGCACCATTCCCGGTCTTTGTGTACGTAATGTACGAACCGTTTGAAATAGATCAAGAACATCTTCATTTTGTAAACGTTCAAGTACAATACTTAATGTAATGAATACTCCTGTACGACCGACACCGGCACTATATATACACACAAAAAAGACAGAAAGAAAAATAATTCAATTTTCGATGATATTAAAAAAAAAAAACAAACATACCTGCAATGGACCGTAATCGGGCCCTCATGTCCAAATTGTTCTTTTGTTTTATGTACTTGTGTAATGAATTCAATGAAACCTTCACCAGATTTCGGTACACCTTGTTCTGGCCAATCAACATAATGGAATTGTCTAATCATACGAGATTGGCCATCCTATTGAAAAACCAACAAAAAAAAAAATAAATGAAATTAAAATAAAACAATCTCATTCATTCATCATCAATTCAATTACCCGAGCATCGGTTATTTTAAATTCACGAAGTATATATTGCGGTATATTATATTCGGTAATTGGTTCAACAACAAAATATGAATATCGTTGTGAACGTTCACTTGGCCAATATTCATGACATTTTTCTCGGCCCATTTCTTGTGTTTGTGTTAATGTAACAATAATGTTTGAATTATGTTCCCAAATCATACGCCAAAAATCATCGGTAGTTTCCATTAATGGACCTTGTGTAGCAACATAAGCATTACGATATTTATAGCCATCAATAAAATTTGCATTTATATAATCCGATCCTTCAACACCACGAATTGGTTGTAAAAATACTCTGGTCGATTCATATGGCAATATGTTCATCAGACGATTTTTATGTTTATTACAAACAAGATTTGCGCTTATAAATTTATTCTCATCATTATTTGGACGCATTGTTGCAATTTTTTGAAATTCTAATTCCATAGTCGTACAATTTTCACCAGGTACCAATTGCATTAAATATTGAAATTGTTTATATAAATCCCTTGAAACAACTTCAGTATTGCCGGCTATAACGGCTTCAAGAACAGCATCATAGATGAAAATATATTGATCTTCGGTCTGTACCATATAATTACGTTGTGCACGTAAACATGTAACATGACCATAGATATCGATCGAATCTTCACATTTAATACGATCCAACATTGAATCGATTACGATATAACATCCACTACGACCAACACCAGCCGAACAATGAATAATCAATGGGCCAGCATCAGGTGGATTCATTGATTTAACACGTCGTAAAAACATTAGAAAAGGTGTCGGATGTCTTGGTACACCATGATCAGGCCATGCAGTGAATTGAAATTGACGTACTTCACGCGGTAGATCAAACGTACCAACACGTTTCAATGTGAATGTCCGTATACAATAGGTGGCCAATTCTTCGTAATTGATCAACGTGACTTCAATTTCACCATATTTTTCCGTACCTTTTGAAGGCCAATATTGGTCACATTTAATTCTAGTTCTTTCTTCCAGTTTAGTCATCATCACAATGGATAAACTATTCTGTTCCCATACCATACGCCAAAAATCACCAAATGTTTCGGGTAATGGGCCTTGTGTTGCAATATAAGAATTCGGTTTACGATATGCATCGCAATAATTTGCATTAATATAATCAGAACCGGGTACACCTGGTATTGGTTGCAATACAACACGACTATGATCATAAGCAATGACATTAGCATAACGATTTTTTGATTTATTCACTGGAAGATTAGAATTTTCCCATGTAAATTGTTGACCAGGATCAATTGATTCATATTCTTGTGAAAATTTTTGATTTTCATTCTCTTTCAACAGTTCAATATGATTTTCAAGTTCAGTAATCGGAATCGGAGGATGATCACGCATTGCTGATGTTTGATAATTTAATCTTCGTAATTCCACAGGATCTGATGGATGAATCATATGATCTTGTGGTTCTACTGTGGCAATCAATTGTTTCATTGAAGTATCATTTAGAGTTGATTTGATAACTTGTCGTCGATGTTTAACGATACAAGCTATAATCGACATGACCACCACCATGATGGCCAATACAATGGATAGAACGAGGATCGGGCCCGATTTATCACCAGTTCGGCCCATTATTGGAACACCTTTTGGATCATATGTCGCACTGGTAATATGTACACGAGTTGGTTCATGGCTCATAAAATTCATATTATTTTCTAAACTTAGTAGATCGGAAAATGGTGAACTTGTAAACAAACTCTTTTGTGGTGTATCCACAACAGCACGAACAAAGATACGATATTCAACATTTTTTTGCAATTTACGATTAATAAATCCATTATATTTTTGGCCATCACCCAATGAGAATGTATTCGGAATCGAACGTCGCATCCATTTGGCAGCAATATAAGGTCCAACCTTGTCTATAGGTGTTGAGCTTAACTCTTCGATCGTATATAAATCAGGCTCTTTATCAGCGAATTCTTTTGGTACAACAACCAAATAATAATGAGAGATTAGGCCAAATTCTTCCGATGCTTGTGGTAGAATCACTGTGATCAGCTGTTTATTTTTCGATTCAATTGTATCCGGTTTTACCATAGGTTTTGGTGCGGCCATTGCAGTCGTTACGATAATTTTAGCTGCCGGCCTATATACATGACCATCATCCGAAGCGATAGCTGTCACGTTTACTTGATATGTTGTAAATGGCATCAATTTGATCAATTTATATTCATTCGTATCTGAAGATTCAAAAATGGTTTTCGGTTCGATCTTTAAACGTTGTAATACTCCTTGACTGTCATAGAATTCTTTGTTTGCACCATAGGTTATCTGATATTTGACAGGATCCAATTTTCTTGGTGGTTTCCAAGTCAAAGTCATTGTATGAGTTGTAACTTCGGTTGATTGAAGATTCAATGGAACTTCGGTTGGATCCGTACGAACGGTAATCAATTCTGATAATCGACCTAAACCATTTCTAGTGTAAGCTGCCACACGAATAGCGTACATTGTTTTCGGTTCTAATCCGGTTAATTCAGCCGACCATGTTAATGATAGTTCACGACGAAACCAAAGATCAAGATCTTCGACAGCGATTTGTGTATATAAAACAGTATAGCCAAGAATATCATTGAAAAATGGCATTTCATCCCACCAAACTTCGACCGATGTTTCCGATGTTGCTAATGCTTGTACACTGGTTGGTGCTGGTGGTGCATCTCCAGGTGTCATTATTTGCAATACATCTGACCATGGTCCAGCACCTTTAGATGTATACGCACGAGCTCTACAATGGGACAACGAAAAAAAAAATAATTAATTAGTATTCATAACACACCAGAATGATAATTGATTGACTTTTTTCTTGTGATAATAACCCAAATAAATTATTCATTTCATTCAAAAGTATACCTGAATTTATATTCAGTATTCTCGTCCAACGAACTGAACACCATTCGAAGGTTAGTCGTATTGTATTCGGTTGGAGTGACATCTATTAACTTATGAAAATGAATTCCATAACCGGTAATCTTTCCATTCTGTTGTTGATAGGCGGGTGGATCCCACGTAAACACAACAGTAGTTGGCGATTGTAAACGATCGGTTATGTTCTGTGGTGGAGCCGATGGAACTCCTTCTGGTGTATCCAAATATGTAACAGATTCTTGGCCCCAGCCTACTGAATTACGTCCACTTAATCTAAATTCATAACGTGTGCCACGTTCCAAATTTTCAATAATTTTTAATGTTTCAGTGGCTGGCATTATCACTTCATCTCTGACCGTATCATCAACACGTCCATAACGAAGTTTATATTCCAATAATTGACTAAATGTTTGATTCGGTCTAGTCCAATAAACTTTTACAGACATTCGTGGATCATCTTTTAGAAAACTGATAAATATTTCCGGTTTGGTTGGAACACCGCCGGCAGTTTTAACATTGACAGCACGACTACGAGTTCCATCGCCTTTTCTTGTTACAGCTGCAACTTGAACCGAATATTCGGTATCCGGTTGTAATGATGTAACATTAAATTCTTGTGCCAAACCATCGGCAACATCAAAACGTAATTGTTCACCAGTAGGTTCACCAAGTCTATCAATTTCTTGTACATGAATTTGATAGCCACGAATCAGGCCATTATGTTCAGAATCTTCCGGATGTATCCATCGAACTTGTACGGATGAAGAATTGATTGCCATTACTTTTACATCGCGTGGTTCACCCGGAACTGAAAAAAAACATTAAAAATAGATTAAAACATTGGATGGAAAAGGAACAATCTTTTTTTTTGGTGAATCAATTAAATCAAAAAAAAAAAAAAAATATGAAAATAGTGTGTTCGATAAGTGCGGTGGTAATTCAAATAACGAAGAAGAAAATAGGAAAATAATTAATTATTAAAGCAAAAAAGAAAGAGAAAAATTTCCGTTGCTAAAGAGTGAGATCTTCAATCAATCAATTTTTTTCGAATGACGTGAAGCAAGAGACAGACAGACAGACAGACAGATATTGGAGCAAGAAGAAAAAAAATCTTACCATCTTCTTCGGTACGAACAACAATAGGATCAGATGGTGGTCCATCACCAATTTTTGTGCCAGCTAATATTTCCACCTGATATTGTGTCCAATGTTTCAATTCATTCAGAATCAATTCATATGGATATGTATCACGATTCGAATTGTTTATTTCAAATACTTTTTCTAATTGTATTGGCTCTGCGTTTGTTGATATTGATGTTCGATAACTATTCTCATCATCATCATCATCATCATCATCATCATCATCATCGTGATCATCATCTTGTTCGTTGGTGATTTCACGATAACGAATTTTATAATAAATTATATGCTGTACACTAGAATCTTCGGGTGGTTGCCACCGTATTCGTAATGAACGTGAACCTATTGCTCTTACATAAACTTCTTTGGGTGGTGTTTCCGGCACTAAAAAATTCATGACACAGGTGCACACATGCATGCAATACAAAAAAAAACATGAAAAACGGCATTCCAAAAACAAAAACAGAAAAAAACGAAATTAAATAAAACAAAACAAAACAAAAACAAAACAAGGCATGAAACCGAAATGAAAACAAAAAAATCACTCACCATATTGATCAGTTTTCACAGGAATCGGAGGTGTTGCAGCACCTTCACCACGACGTGATTTGGCAGCAATCCAAATATAATACAATGTATCTGGATATAAATCGGTTAGTTTATATGTTTCCACTACAGGAACGGCACGTTTATATTCTTGATTGGTGAATGTATCGTTCCAATATATTTCATAACCAATAATCGATTCACCAGTATGACTTGGTTTATTCCATGTTAATTGTACGGATGTTGCCGATATTGATGTGGCCAATAGATTTAATGGTTGACTAGGTACACCTTGTTGTGTTTTAACTTGAACCGGTGGTGATAATGGTCCAGCACCACGTGTTGTAAATGCCTGTACACGTATCGAATAAATCGATTGTGCTTGTAGATCGGATATTGTTGTAAGCTCATTACTATTAACCGATTGTACATCCCATGAATTGATAGGAAGATTTGGATTTAATGTATAATAAATTTTATAACCAGTCACTTGGCCATTAGGCTCTTCGGGTGGTTCCCATTGTACCACTATGGTTGTTGATGATAATGGCCGTGCTTGAACATTTCGTGGATATGATCCTAGTTCTAAAAAATTGAAAAAAAAAAAACAAAAAAAACATTAAAAAAAGATAAAAGTATTAGTGAATGTCATCATCATCATCATCAACAAATTAATATTCATCGGTCATAAATTTAAAAAAAAATGAAAAAATCATTTAAAGCATACTGTTAAGTCCTGTTTAGTTTTCATTTTTTTTTTTTTTTTTTTTTTAAATTTGAAAAAAAAAAAAAAAGAAATGAAATGTTAGATTTTCTGTTTTAGTACAAAAAGATTAAGATTTGAATTATATGATTTCATTGTGTGAAGAAAAACAAAACAAAACAAAACAACAAAAAAAACTCAAGTTGTTAACTTACTTGTTTCGCCTGTTGTGATCGTAATCGATGATGATGGTTGGCCACGACCAATCGTATTGACAGCAATGATATAGAATTCATATTCAGTATATGGTGTTAATGAATTGATTACATAGAATGATGTGGTTATGCCACTGATTTCAGAAAATTGTCCAGCATTTTTTGGTTTATATTGTATAATAAAATAGGCAATATCTTCGGAACCAAAATCATAATTCCATGCAAGACGAACAGATGTTGGTGTTACATCCGATGCTTGTACATTGGTAGGTGGTCCTGGCAATGATCGAACAATAACTTGTGCCGTTTTTTCTATCGATCCATGTTCCGATGTTGCCACACAAGTATAATTATCTGATTCTTTTACATTTGTTAATGTAAGTACATTACGGCCACGTGGTATTATATCTTTATTCATTTCAATGGCACCTTTACGCCATCGTACTTCGGGCAATGGTGAACCGGATGCAACACAAGTTAGATTAAGATCTTTATGTGGCATTATTTCATAGATATTTTCCGGTGGTATCGTAAAATATGGTGGTACAACACGAACTATAATCATTTTTAACAAAATGGATTGGTCCATCGATCGATTTCGGTTCAGAAAAAAAAGAAATGTCAACATTCAGGGAAGAAAAAAAAATGTTAATTTAAAACACTACTACCAACAACAACATCGACAACTACATACTTCGAACATGAAGTGAAGCCATTTCCGAATAAGCAGTACCGACTTTATTTTCAGCAACACATTCATACGGACCTATTATAGTAAATATTGGGCAAAAAAAAAAGAAAAGACGGACGATCAATCATTTTTTCACCGAATATTCTACCGGCTTCAAAAACAAAAAAAAACAAGAGTCATGTAACTTACCTTCATCTACTTCTTGAGCTTGTAAAATTTTCAATGATGCTAAAGCAGATAATACAAAAATGGTAAAATATTAGTAATGGTCATCATCATCATTCATGTTTATTATTGAAAATAAAATATATACCTCCTCCTTGATATAGTGAATAACGTGGATTGGTCATATCCACTGGTATTGTATCACGTAGCCAATATATTTGTGGTTCTGGATCGCCAACTGCACGACATGGTAATAATGCATTATGGCCTTTTTCAACACCTTGCATATTTGGCTGTAATGTAAACGATGGAAATCCTTCCGGTATTTTTTCCTCTATTACAAACGAAAAAAAATTGATCAATAAAAAAAGTATACACAAACAAACAATCATCTTCAAAGGTGTGTTTTCTTTTTTTCAACAAACACACACACACACACACACAGAGAATGAACAAACAATCATTTCTGATTGTATCGTTTGTACTGTAAATAATAAACACACATATATTTACCAGGATAAACATGAAGTATTGCTGTTGCACGGACCGGTTCACCGATACCATTTTCAGCTAAACATTCATATGTTGCATTATCTCGATTCTGTAAGATATGAAAAAAAAGAGAAAAAAAATTACAGCAATTTAATATCATCAATATAAATATGAAACAAAGATTGTGTCATCATCATACACACAACTCAAATTACAGGATGTAATAAAATTTTGATTAAAACATTCACTACAATTCAATGTATTCAAAACGATATACAATCCTGGTGATGATTACATTAACAACAACAATAATTTCATAATCAACAACAGGAAAAAAACACGAATATAAAACACACACACACACATATGAATAACAACAAACCAAACAAACACACACACAGGTTCAATATCCATTAATATACAAATGCCATTCATCAGTTAGCAAAAAAAAGATAATTTATTACCATCATTCAGCATTGTATCTTCATCATCATCATCATAATCATCATAACCGAATCTAAACTAACAACATGATCAACCCTGACAACCCCTTTTGAATGTGAATGTGAATGCGAACAAAAAAAAAATCATGAAACAACAACAACAACAACTGGCCAACTTTATTCATTCAAATAACATATGGACACCATTCACTGATTGTATGCGTGTGTGTGTGTGTGTGCATTGATCAATCGGACACAGTGACGCCATAATACCATCATTTGTATATGAAAGAAGAAACATCAAAACGAATAAATTATTATTATCATCATCATCATGAGAATGATGATTACAATTTCAATCATTGAGTTTTTTGTTTTTTCATCCATTCGTTCATTCATTCATTCATTCATTCAATTCACAATTCACAATACCCAAAAAACAGTTCATTCACTGATAATAATAATAATAATAATGTAAAATAAAGATGTAATTCATAATTGTAGTTTGATTTGTTAAAACAAAAAAAGAAAACAGGTTATGAATGATGATGATGATGATGATACATACATGTAGTACAATGATCAATCAGATCAGAAAAAAATAAAGTAGAAAAAACGTTCTTCTGATACCATCCTATATATATCCATTTTATTATCATCATCATATTCACGTGTAAATTCAATTTGATCAGATCATCCCAAATAAACAATGCTCGAAGCAAACAAATAATAACCCTCCCAAAAAAAACATTTAACACAGTGGTCTTTTTTGATTTGAAATAGCATCATCACATAAATTTGGGTATATATGGATTTTAATTAAATTAACACTTCGGCAACAACTACAACAACAACAGCATATTTATGGTCATGAGAAATAGTGTCTTATAGTCAGAGATCAAAGAAAAAAAGAGAGAAAAAAAAAAAATTCATACAGTTCAGTTGTTAGTCTATCATGATTTGACCAATAACAACAACAACAACAACCAACTTGGCAATACAACCAAAATAATTATATTGTCATGTCATATACATTGCCAATGTTCATCATCATCATCATAAATGGTGGCAATCTATGTGTTTGACCAGCAAAATTAAAATCAATATATAAAAACGCGAAGTCTCGATGGTCCAAAATTAAATTTTGAAACATGATTCCACCCGGCGGCGGCGGCGGCGGTGGTGGTGTTGGTGTTGGTGGCCACAGCATATGGTACACATACTAATACAACATTTGGATAATTGGACATCATACGACGATGGTCGTCAAACACCTGGGTCAAATGTAAACACCACACATACATATTGACCAACTAATGAAGGCAACAAACGATAGATGGATAGATATGACAATCAAAGAAAAGATAACGTTCAATTGAAAAAAAAATATAGATAACACCCAAAAAAAACTAGGATTTACACAAAACAAAAAACAGGAAGAGTCTATCATCGAATGTAAATAGTGTTTGTGTGTGTGTGTGTGTATATAAATCAATTTCACATTTAAGAAACACTTTGAAATACCATAATCGAATCGATCGGGTTGGCCATCATGACTATAGTCGAGGGTGTGTGTGTGTGTGTATGGAAACACATTGAAAAAAAACCGGATCGATATCATCACCATCATTGACCAGTGGTCACAAGAACAAAGACAAAACTAATAAATAAATAAATAAATAAAATAATCAATCGATCAACGATCAAAGTAATTGTAGATTGATTGATTTTTTTTCTTCTTTTTCATTGTAAAAAAAAAAAAAAAATTTAAATCTTTTTTTACCATCGATTATCATATCGATGTGTGTGTGTGTGTGTGTGTACAAATGAAACATTACAACCATCATCACTACTACTACTACCAGTTTGCAGTAAACAAGTTTTTTTTAAAGAAAAAAAAATTTCCAAAAGGAAAATGTCAGCTGACTGAAATACCATGAATTCCTATATATAAATATCGAAAAAAAATGACAGCAAAAAGTTTCTAAGAAACAAGAAAAATGATATAATCATGAAAAGAAATGATGATGATGATGACGACGAAATAGGATGAAAAGTTTCAAGTTTCGCGCACACACACACTAAATCTATTTTCTAATAATTGAATTTCGAATAATAAAAAAAAAACTTACCAATTTAACTGGTTCGATACGTAACACGGATCCATTTGGAAATGAATAAACAGAATAACGTTGTGTAGTAAGATGGCGACCATTTTTACGCCATTCAATCTGTGGTGGTGGTGTACCAATTGCCGAACATATGAATGTTGCAACACGACCAGATATAACGTATTGATCTTTTGGTGGTGTTATTATCCTTGATGGATGTCCTGTGATTGAATTTCAATCAGAACCAAAAAAAAAACGAAAAAAAAAAAAAAAAAAAAAAATATACATTAATATATATAACACAACATATGTAAAACAGATAAAAACAAAACGACAAAAAACATTCGAGTGCATCTTTGTTTCTCAACCAAAACAAAACAGAAACAAAAACGACAAAAACATCTTCGTTTTTTTCAAAAAAAAAAAAACATGTTCTTTTGATAATAATAATTCAAAGACAAACAAGAAATAAATTATCATCCCCAAAAGACTGAATGATTTATTATCATCATGTCATTGAATGAATGAATGAATGAATTACCATGCAATGAATAACGAAAAAAAAAAAAAATTCTTTTCATTCAAAATTTTCATTTCAGTCATAGATTATGAGGTGTTAAGATTGAGAAAAAAAATTTTTTTTTTTAACCCATTTCTAGCCGGACACATCCAGTTTATGATTATAAAATTGACATAATAAGAAAGTTTTGTTTTGTCATAATAAAGAAAACAAATCGATTGATGATCAACAACAACAACAAGTCAAATTTAATTGAATATTTATTTTATTATCATCATGGATGATGAAAATGATGGAAAAAAAACAAGATGTACAAACAATAAATGTCATGCCAATTCATTTTAATCAATTTAATGTATTTGAAAATGAAAACGAAAACATTCGATTCATTCGAACAAATATGAATATCAAATAATACAAAAAAGGCGAAAAAAAAATTTCAACCAAAAATCAAAAACTTCAGATCAGTTTTTTTTCAGCCAAAAAAAAGTTTCTTTTTTCATTGATTCGAGTCTGTCTATTTTTTTTTGCATCGTTTTTTTTATACAAAGTTCAATGTCCATTGATATATATTCAATTTGTTTCGCTGCAGATTATTATTATTATGATGATGATTATGGATTACCATTATTATCATATATATACACAGTCTGTGTATAACCAAAAAAAATCAGATCAAGATTCATCGAATGAACAAAAGAAAAAAGTTTTTTTCTTTTTCTTTTTTTTTGGGAAGACGACAATAAACGACAGACAGCAAATATATATATGGATGAACAAACAAACAAACAAACGAACGAAAAAAATCCGATGATCCATGAAAATGGAAAAAAAACCAAATTCTCAATCGATACACATGGGAACCAGGCAAAAATATATTAAAAAAAGGGCCATATATAACATCATCATCATCATCATAAAATATTCAGTGAATAACAAACAGCCAGCCAGAATTATTCAATATAAAAATAGAATCCGGCCGGTATCATTCTATTATTTCAGCATTATTTGTATCGGCTGTGTGTGTGTGTGTGTGTGTATGATATCTATGGAAATATATATTGATTCGATCAATGAAAATTCAGATTTAGATTGCAATTTTTTTAAGTTTCATAATATATTACAAGAATTAAAATTACAAAACATTTTCATCATTTCCAACGACGACGACAAAACAAAATTCATCACGTCGTTCACCATGACTCTTGTGTAAAAAAAAAATTATCAGCAAAATGGAAATGATCTGTATGTTCACAATGAATGAATGTAAAATGCACACACACACACACACACACACACATATGCCATGAACATGACTATGTATAAATAAACAAACAAAAAGACATCATTTTTGATTTTTTTTCGAATCATAAAAAAAATATAATACAGATGAATCGAATATTTCAAGTGTCGATTGTGATTGAATCAATGTTGGTCATAATACAAAACGACCACAATCGATTTATAAGGCTATTTAATATTCTGGTCCATAATTTGTACTGACTGTAAAAAAAATTGACAAATTTTGATTGGACATATGGAACATCATCAATAATAAAAAATAATGTTCGATGCCGACATTTGTGACAAACACAAACACAAACATTTGTTTTTTTTCACAAACAACACAAAAATCTCATTTTGCATCCACACACACAATCAGAGAAATTGAGGACAAAAATGAAATTTGTTTCCTCACTGTCAACATCATCATCATCAATGGATTGAAGTGGTAAAATCAGTCACCGAATCATCATTTATTATGATGATGATTTACAACTTGATCGAAAAGGTTAATCTTTTCTGTCTGTCATTCGAGATAATAAAGATATTTTAATGATTAATGATGATAATTCAATGAAATCAATGGAAAAAAAGTGAATAAAATGATTCAATTTAAAAATCAAATTATCATACAATGTGAAATTAATGAATGTCAAATCAATTACCGTGGTGATAATAATAATGATACCGAGAATATGGATACCAAGAATGAATGAATGAATGGTACCAAAATCCAAACAAGATAATAAAAAAAACTTATCATCCAACATCATAACAACCAATAGACAAGAGAGAGAGAAAAAAATTGAAAAGGATGATGATGATGATGATGAAGATCAAAATACAAATGAACAAAATAAAATAAAACAACTACCTGGTTAATGTAAATAAATAAATAGACAGACAGACAGACAGAGATTAACATGATTATTACAAATTAATCGCATTAAAACCAAGAGAATAATTTCTGATATTTATGCAATACTAGATAAAAATAAAATTATCATCATCAACAACCAAACATACAAAGAAAGAATTTTGTTGATGGTGGAATTTTAATCATTTAATATATATCCAACATATATATCTCTCTATGGTGATAATGTACAAGATAATGTCATTTTCATGGTTTTTTTTTTATTTTGCATTGCAAAAAAAATGACATTTTTTTTCTTGTTAAATTTTGTTTTTTTTTTGAACATCTCTTCATATATATATCTGTGAACGATAAACCAGAAATGGTTTTTTACCTTGGTGGCTCTATATGTTTGTTTGTTTTTGGTTGTCAAATTTTTTTTTTTTTCACACACACAACATATAGACACAATTTAATTTACTACTACTGTAACTAATTTTTACTTTATTATCATCATCATCATTTTTTTTCTGTTGACAATAATAATAATAATAATTTTGCTATATGGCAACAAATCCTAATTCGGATTGAGTGGGTTAAATTTTTATTTTTTTTCTGCAAGAAAAGAAAAAATTTAACCCAAATCATCAGAATTTGCTGAAATCTGAAAAAAATTCAATTTTCAGCCACGATTATTGATTGATTGATTGAATGAATGAATGAATGAATAAATAATTTACAAACCATCAGAACGAGCCAAAATATTTGTTGGAAATATTGCAATTTGTAATAGAAATAATAATTGTAATATAAATGTCAATCGAAATGATTGATTATTGATTATTCGTCGTTGATGATGATGATGATGATGTGATATTTCCGTTTTGTTCTTTTATTCATACACAATGTTCTTAGATGATTATTATCATTATTTGATTTTGTTACCATCATTATCGATGATGATGATGATGATGATGGCAACAACAACAACAACTACAACAACAACTATTCAGCAATGGTTGTATGATCATCATCATGGCCCAAATTTTGTCGTTATGTATGTGTGTGTGTGTGTGTGTGTAGGCGTTGGTGGATTAGATTATTATTTTGGAATTAGATGTAATAATAATCAGATTAAACTAGAAAAAAAATAAAGATGAAACTTGTTCGTTTTTTTCTGTTTCATTTTTCATTTTTCATAGATATGTGCATAATAATAATGATGATGATATGATGATAACCTTGTTGTTTGTTTGTTGTTACATTTTAATTTTATCAAAATAAAATTCTTGGAAATTTTCCATTTCAAATTAAAAAAAAAGATGGCACTTGATAAAATCAACAATGTGTGTGTTTAGGCCAAACATGGAGATGATACATTCGAACATTCGAACGAACACATATTAAACACACACTGGACACACAAACACTTATGATGATGATTAGATTGCACAACATTACAATCGATTTCATCCATTCAAACAATCATTGAATGTCAATATAATGATGATAATAATGGTGGTTGTTGATGATTATTATTAAATGATGAAATGCACACATCCATTTCTTCACAATTTATTGATGGATGACAAAACATACGATTAATTGAATACAAAACACACAAAGTGTGTATGAAATTTGGAACAAACACACACACACACCATTCACCAATTCCAAATAGACAAAGTATGAAAAAATTTCATTTCAATCTTCTTCTTTTTTTCTGTGTTCCATACGTATATTTTTGGAACATGGAACTATGCTTCCTGATGATGCTGCTACTTGAATTCTGTCACCATCATCATGAAATCATTTTGGTGAATAGAATCAAAGCAGTAGGCAAAAAAAAAAAATTCTTTGTTCGTCGTTGTTGGATGTGTATTATTATTATTATTTATAATGATCAGAAATTCTGGAACCTGGAAAAATCACATTTTATATGATGATGATGAAAAAAAAAAAAAAATAGGGAGTATCACAAAACTGCCACTACCATCATCATCATCATCAACATTAGCCACTACTATCTTCCACAAAAAATGACGACAATGGTGGCGACCAAAATCATTTTGGGTTTTTATTTTATTTTTGTTCGGTCCAAAAAAATACCCGAATTTTTCAAATTTTGTTCATTCACTTTTTTTAAGATTGAATTTTCTTTCCATACACACCGTACTTACTACTCACGGACAATGTTCACACACACACACGATTGGCCGAGAAAATGAACAGACAAAATATGAAATGATAATGGCAAAGAACTCGCAAACAAAACCAAAAAAAAAAAAAAAAACACACATGAAACACGAAGGCAAAGACTCTCTTCTTCTTCTTCTTCTTCTTGTTGTTGTTTCTAAGACCACGACGACAACAATCCATCCATTTTCCACTACATAAAATCATCATAAAATATTAATGCCACTACTATTATTACTACTACTACTACGTTATCATTTGTGGGATTTATTTTATTTTTTTTTTTTTTTGGATACACATGAATATGGATTGATGATAGGTTGGAGAAGAATGGACAAAAAGATCCATTTGAAAAGTTTTTGACAACAACAACAAAAAAAAGTGGACTGATCTTGTCTTGTTTTTCTTGAGCACTCACACACACACACACTACATTTGAATGTGATCGAATTATCCAATTTGGTCGTAGTGGTTCAAACATTTGATTCGTGATGATTTGGATCATGACAATATGTGTGGCTCATATTCAATGTTGTATGGATCCAATAAATATCGATAGCGCAATCTCGACAGGAATTTTTTTTTTTTTTTTTTGATGAAAATTTGGCGCCGGTTTCTTCCCGCTATTTATATCTATATGAATGTGTATCTTTAATCTTTTGTACACATCTGACATCTATAAGTCAAAAGTGGAATTTTTTTTTCATATCATCAAAAATTATTATAATCATCATTGTGGACAACAAAATTATCAATCAAATAATTTTACAAACAGAACAATTTGTAATACGATTAGCAATACGTGCTCTTGTTATAGCTGAAATATTATCATCGGTTATAATCTGTTCGGTGAATGGTAATTCGCCAACATCTCGATTCTATATTGAAAGTTATAAAATAAAATTAAAAAAAACGAAAATTAATAAATCAGATAATCCGTTTAGTGAACAAAAAAATTACCAATTGTTGACCATCATTTCTTGATGATGATTGCTGTTGTTGATGTTGATTATTATTATGCTGATGATGATGATGATGATTCGAATTTGAATATTGATGATGATGATCTCGGACAACATCATTATTATTATTATCATCATCATCATCATCGTCATCATCATCATCATTGCTATTGCTAACACTTGAATTTATACGTGTATTCTGTTCACTATTACTATTCATATTACCACCACCACCATTATTATTATTAATTAATTGTTCAAGATTACTTTCCATCAATATTGGTGATGTCGATGTATCATGTGAATTATTTCGTCGTAATATCATTGATGATGTTGATGATTGTATACGTCTTATTAGGCTTTGATGTTGTTGTTGTTGTTGATTATTATTACGATTATTATGATGACCAACATTTGCAAGACCAAAATGTTGCTGTAAAACATTTGAATAATGGCTACGATTATTCGTTATTGGCCTATTCGGATGATGATGATGATGATGATGATTGATTAATAAATTTCTTGATTGATGATAATGATTATGTGAATGATGATGATGATCATCTCGACCATTAATTCGATTATTACGACCAACTTGTTGTTGATGATGATGTGTGAAACGATTACCAGTATTAGTAAATAAATCTGGTAATTGTAATTGATATGATCTTGTCGAAACAAATGGTGATGTATCTGAATAGCCGGAAATATATCTTGATATATGATCAAGAATTTCACGAAAACGTGATTCAGTATCCTGTGTACGTCCAGTACCATGATGGCTACCAACACCACATAGATCAACATAAACAATTGATGATAATATTAATGCCATTGCACCTGGTGGTGGCCATGGTGTAAATTCAATAATCAATGGTAATATTGGTTTATGTAATACATCGGCTAATGCTACTTCACGATTACACATTGGTGATGCTACATATCTTGGTGTTAGACAACTAATGGAAATGGAAAATAAAAAAATAAAAAATAACAACAACAACACATTACATTGGTTCAATCAATCTAATATCATTATAAATGAATGAATGAATGAATATATTTACCATATAAATACTTTGGCTCGACTAATGCCTTCATAGATTTTTCCATATAATGAATCACCACCGTTAATGGATCTAATGTAAAAAAAATAAAACAAAAAAAAAAAAAAATTACTGACAAACCTAATAAAGATTAGAAAATTGGGAAAAAAACATATTTTCTTCGTTGATGTGCATATACCTGGTATCCATCCAACATTGAAAACCTGAAAGTTCAAGTTTTCTTCTAATCTCTACATGGATGTAATCGTTGTAATATGAATAACAAATAAAAAAAAGAGAAAAGAATAGAGGAAAAAAAAATCAATTAAAAATTTTGATTATTGTCAACATGGTTTGTTTGGCCAGTTCAACATACCAAGAACTTGTTTCTGTGAATCATGTTGATAGCTAATAAATATCGGTGGTGATGCTGATTCAGGTTCCAATTCATATTCAATTAATGAAGCAATATCTTCACGATTTAACATTCTTAAACAGGAAACAAGAACATCTATACAATATCTAGTACGACCATTCGATTCATACCAATCATTCAACAATGCTAATGATGGTGAAAGTTCAGCATTAAATTTCATTATATCACGTTCAGTATAGCTCAAACGTTTTGCCAATGCCCTCCAATCATTCATTGATGATGATGATGATGATTGTAGATTATTACTGTCTACACCACCACCACCACCACCACCACCATTACTACGACCATGACGATGACCACCAATCATACCGTGTGATTGTTTTTCATTACCATTCAATAATTTGGCAGCTTCACGCATCCATAATTGTTCCACTTGGAAAACATTTTCCCATACATTTGTATTGTTCGATGTAGGCAATAGCATTGTATTATCGTATGTAATATCATCTAGAACGTAAGAAAATTAGTCATTATCGTAACAATTACATGGATTTCACCAACAAAATAATACTTACCATTCAGATTGGATGGCGCATATGGAAGGAAACGATGTATGAATGTGGTACGTACCTGGCGATTAAATCGACATTCAACCACTTTTTTCTGCAGACATTCATGTAGACTTAGAAAATGTAAACATGATTCATTGAGACAACCTTCAATATCATGTTTTTCACATACAACATCACAAGGACAAGGAATAACTAACTTGAATGATAACCGACGATAATAGGAATTTTTCAATGATGCCAATTCATTTTCAATAAGATGTTGAACCTTAACACAAACATTAGCCGCTGGACCAATGAATAAATTTTCAATCTGATCATTTGGAATTTCTTCGAAAATTTTCACAATAATCAAATAAATTCTATCTTGAAATAGATTTATCTTCAATATGATATCATGATCAAAATCAACGGCAATACGGCCTTTTGAATTGAACATTTCAGGTTTTCGGCCCCAGCCTTGATTCCATGACCATTTCGATAAACGTACTAATAGACGAGTGAACAGGCTCTGAGAATGAAATGAAAAATATTTTTTAAAAAAATCAATCAAGAAACCAATATTTTTCACTTACCACTGGCAGAATATTGAATTCAATGATAAATTGAAATGTTGATCCACCGATTGTGGCGTTGGCACCATTTCCAACGCGGCTATCATCATTTGGATCCGGACTAGGATGACCATTTACCATTGATTGTTGATTACTATTCGCTGATGAATTCGTATCACATGATGAATCTGGTCTACTTTCACTACTTTGATTATCATTATGACCATCGTTATGGCCGGAATTCATAAATTCTGTCGTATCATTCATGACCGGTTTTGTAATCCATGGAAAAAATACAATTTCGGTATCATTGCTGTTGCAGATACATCTGAAACATCTTCCATTGGTAAATATGGATTTATTTCGCCTTTTGAAAATAATGATGATAAATTATGTGTTTAACCATCGAATTATTTTTATCCATGTTTTACTTACAAATTAGATCAAGATTTTCTAAACATCCAAGAAGAATGAATTTCTGATCAATAATATTCGACCAGGCATTATTAATGGCATTCTCACTTGTGTGTGTGTGTGTGTGTGTGCAAACAGATATAATGAGAAATAAATGAAAAAAAAAAAAAAATATAAAAATGATAAATAGACAAAATGAAAGCAAAAAAAAATAAATAAAAATCTCATTACCTAATAATACCAAGAAACAGATTATCATCATCATCATTTTTCATTGAACATAAATATGAACAAAGATCATATATACAGCTGATAAACCAATTTGGATCCAATATTATAATACCAAGTTCATATGTACCATGACGATCATCAGCCGCTGAGAATGCAGTTTGATTATTGACACAATCCAGAAAGAATATCCGTCCTTGATTATGATAGAAATATAATGCTGAATTTAGATTTTCATATGATTGAAATGTATCGATTATTGATGAAACAACTTCATGTAATTGATAAACATCGACAAAATATATGCCACGTTGTTTAAATTTTTCCAATATTTGTTCCAATTGTATCCAACATAATGGTATGGAGAATCCGGCCATTTTTTCTTCATGAATTAATGATTCAATTATATGACGTAGATTTTTCACTAGATCCGGTTCATCGAATGACATTTCTTTACAATCTAAGGCGATATTTTTTTCAAACAAATGTCCCCCATAGCTTTTATCATTAAAACTTGAACGAATTTTATCGAATATTTCATTGACAATTTGATTACGAGTGATTGGCTCAGCATGTATGGAATTACGGTGTGTGCCTACCAATATGATTTGTGGTTGAAGTAATTCAAATGTTTTTGATTCACTAGAATTTTCATCGCTTGTCGATGTATCTACTGATTGGTCTTGTTGTTGTTGTTGTTGTTGTTGATTATTATCCGTATTATCGGTATCATTAGTATCATTCACAGCGGTCGATGATGGTGGTGATGATGGTGAGATTTCATTTGGAATCGGAAATCCTGCAATTGTTGAATGAATCAAAGAAATCCATAGATGAATGGAATGTAGAACAGTTAATGATTGATTTCCTAATTCACTCTGTGAACCAAGTAGGAAAAAAAATGAACAAAATTAAAAATTTCGAGTTTCTAGAACTTTTATTACTTACAACAAAAGAAACATTTTCATATTTGGACAACGTTGTTGTTTCTAAATCATCGGCCAGATTGAATACAAAAAGATAGACAGAACAACTGGTGAAGAAAAACTATTTTGTTTTTGTTTAATTTGTGGGAAATTTTTTTTTTTTTTAAATTAATCATCCTTACTTGATTAATGAGAAGATAGAGAAAATTTCCACTAAAATCATGGACATTGATGATCAATTTTGATTTATTGTTGCCATTTTCATTGGCCAAATCTTTAACAGATGATTCATTTGTAGTTAGATTTTTCTGATCATTTGGTATTGCTTTCAACATTTCTTCAATCATCAACATTAATTCATCAGGAATTTCATTCTAATCACAAATAAATTTTACAAACATCATCATTGATTATTATGATCAACAGAATCATTTTGCCTTACCAAATTTTCACTCAATTGTTTTACTTCTTTTGAATATGGTCGCAATAGTTTACGTGGAAATCTTAATACATTTTTAATCAAATCTTTTGGCGAATGTGATTCATTGGCATCAAATTGATCTTTATTCGATACAATTTCTTGGACAATATTTTTGGCAATATCATGATAGATATCGGATTTATCTGCATGAGTTATTCGCAATTTATTCGTTGTCGAATTCGGTAACAAATTCCATTCACCATCATTATTGGTAATCAGATGACATTGTGATGGATCACCAATTGAATCATTATTATCTTTTGAATCTTGATTTCTGTAATTAAATAAAGTGGATTTATTTATATTTATTTAATATTCATTCATGTGATCTTTTCAATCAATCGAATGCTTACAAATTACTTATGAAAATATTTTTCAATTGACTTTTTCCAGAAGATTTTGGTCCAATCAATATAATACGTGCCGAATTGTATGGAACAATACCATTTTCACCACATTTATATGTAGAATAGATATCCGATCCAAGTGAAACAATTTCCCGACAATTTGGTGATGAATAATGTGGAAATTGTACCTGTTCAGTTTGACCATATAGATCAAGTATTAACCATAATGGAAAATTTATTGGTAAATTTTCCAGAAACATATATTTTAAATTTGGTTCATATTCGGTGATTATTTCGAATACACCATCCGAATTCAATGAAAGAATCAAACTGTCATTTGACCATTCTGGACGAATTTGTTTGATCCATACATCATCAACATTGGTGGTCAACAAATTGATTATATGTTTTGAATAAATTGTTTCCATAAAATTGACCGGATTACGTGTGGTTAATCCAATAAAACATGCACCATGCCATTCAGATGATAGCCGTGATGATAATTGAATAATCATCGGTGTATTCATACGCATTGGATTCGAACTGAATACGAATGCATCACAAAATGAATTTGTTCGTTTTGCAATACGTTTATTGTCGTCCAATGAAACATTTACGCCGTGTATATCATGAAACTTCATCATCATCATCATCATCATTTATTATTTGCAATGGCCAATTTCACTGTCAAATTTGATTTCATTTGATTGTCCACAAACAAAAAACTAACCTTTGTTTTTGTTTGTTTGTTTTCGTTCTCTGTGTAGAAAAAAAACCTTAAACAAATAAAGCAAACAAAATGGAAAAGTTCATTGGTAATAATTCTGCAGAAATATATCTTCGTTTTCTAATGTTTTTAAAAAAACTCACATAGTGGTGTGAGTGCCTGTTCTTTTTTTGAAAATATCGATCCAGACAAAAAAAAAAAAAAAAAGACGACGACAACAACAACAACAACGATGAAATGAAGACGTTCGTTTGAAAAATTGAGAATTGTTAGAGCTAAGAAAATCGAATCTATACCTACACTACACCTGTATTTATATATATTAGAACCCATAAGTAAGTATCCATAGAAACTAATTACAAGTTGTTTTTATTTTTAATTTTTTTCCCATTATTATCATCATCATTATATTTACAGTAAATTAATCTCTATCTCTCTATGTTCGTTTATGGTAACACAATGACGAATGTAACATTTACATTTCAAATGATACATACAAATATATATAGAATGATGATGAATACAATTCAAGTGAAAATTTTTATTCATTTTTATTCAACAACAATCCATTATTATTATACAAAACAATTAGAAATAACAAAACAATAATAAAAATCAATTACGTAAGTACGATAAGTAGTATTATGTGTTTCAATATATATGGATTAAATTTGATGATTTGGTTCGTGTCCATATTTCTTGTAGAAAGCTATTTCTTTCATCAATAATATTTCAATATCAAAGAATAAAGATCTTGCACGTTTATAACATATTTCCGATGGTTTTCACATTGTTTACCGTTTGCTTTTTTGAAATCGAATGAATCTTTTCTTCTTCTTCTTCTTTTTGGTCAATTTGTTTTTGATTATCATTATTTTTAATTTTTTCAATCATTTCATCAATATCATCCATATCGATGTCATCTAGATCATAATCAAAATCATAAACATCATCATCATCATCATCTAATAGTTGACTATAGTCATCATTTTCAATATTTGGTTGTTTATTACATGGTGATTTGATTAGATTATTTTTCACTAATTTCATCATTTCATCTTTATCGGCATCGGTAACGAAATGACAATTGTTCGAATTGTTATTGTTTGGATTATTATCAACATCAGTATGGTGAGATTTGTTAATGTCATCATGTAATGATAAAAATGATACAATATCATTATCAATCTCATCATCATCGAAATTATTATCATCAAAATCAATATCATCCAGGTTGATTAAAGATTTTTCTTCTTCTTCTTTTCCTTTTTCTTTTTCTTCGTTTGTTACAAGCTCTCCAATCACTGTTGATGTTTTACTAAATGATTTAAATGAACTATCGAATGCTAATATCGCTTAGATCAAAATCATGAAATATTGATTTTCGTTTTCCACTAGTTGTGGTGGTGGTGGCGGCGGTGGTCATTGTAGAATTTCGTATGAAATCATTATGCGAAAAATCTAAATCTGGTTTCATTGTTGATGATGATGATGATGATGATGGACCAGGATTTTGGTTCTGATTATGATTGTTGTTGTTGTTGCTAATTGATGAATCGGAATTTATCACTGGTAAAGAAAATTTGTTATTCGTAATCGTTTTTGATGTTTGAGCATTTGATTTATGTTTTTTTCTATACATTATTATTATTATTATTATTGACACGATTTGAATCAAACAAAAAAAAATTCAATAAACACAACGGTAGAATAACGAGTATATAAAAAAAAGACGTTAAGAAAGCTGAAGAAAAAAAAGAAAATCAAAAAAAAAAATTAGATCACAACAAACATATCATAGTTGTTACATACAAGTTACAAGATGGCGCTTTGATGATTTGTAAATATGTAAAAAAAACTGAGACACATTCAACACATTTAGTTTTTTTGGATTTGGATTGTTATTGATTTTTGGAGAGAAAAAAAAAATTCAAGATATGCCACCTAAAGGAAAAGGAGGTAAAGGCGATACGACAAAAGGTTCGAATAGTGGTGGAAAATCTGGTGGTGATGCAAAAGAAAAAAAAGGCGGTACATCGGTAAAAGTATGTATTTGTATTGGTGATTGATTAACCAAAAAAATTGTTTACTTTTAACAATTTAAAATTCTGAATTCTGATTTCCAATTTCATTACATTCAGGTACGTCATATATTATGTGAAAAACAATCAAAAGCATTGGAAGCAATGGATAAGATAAAATCCGGAATGAAATTCAATGAAGTTGCGGCACAATATTCAGAGGATAAAGCACGACAAGGCGGTGATCTAGGATGGATGACACGTGGTTCAATGGTCGGACCATTTCAAGATGCAGCATTTCAATTACCAATTTCTAGTTTAGATAAACCAGTGTATACGGATCCACCGGTTAAAACTAAATTTGGTTATCATATCATTATGGTTGAAGGAAAAAAATGATGAATTCTTTTTTTGGATTTTTTTTCTACAAATAATTTTTTCACTGGTATTTATGATCCAACGACTATTCGGTCGTGTTATTATAATTATGATGGAACAAAAAAATTGTGAAAATAAATGTTTTGAAAATAATTTTTTTTGGAAAAATAATCCTAAATACACCCACCACACGTGATCTATTCGATCTATTGGGTTAAAATAGAATTTTTTTTTATTTATCACGTGAGTCATTTATTCATTCATTCATTCATTCATACATCACATTGAAAAGAATCATCAAATTATCAATGGCGCCTTCGAATCGTAAAGTTCAATTTCGATTGGAAAATGTTAAAGAAGAATTGGAGGATGAAAATCAACAAAGCTGTAATAATGATAATAAACGAGGACCGATTGCCATTACGAAAAGGCCTGCATTCGAATTGCCAACAAGTCATAATCAACAAAATGATCCATTAACAATCAAAGAACAATATCGACCCGATCTGAAACGATTATCATTGGATGATCTGAAAGGTTTACTTGAAAAACAACAAAGAATCCTGCGAAATAGGTATGATTATTATTGGAAATTTTTCACATAATTTCAAGCCTAATAATACGGAAAAAAAAATTTTCAGAAAACTTTTAGACAATCTCAAGGATAAAGGTGAAAAGACGAAAAAATTTCTGCAAGAAATTCAAGAAGAACTATCGATCCGTGAGAAAAATGTGAACAAAAGTATTGCAAAAACCGAACATTTGTTAGAAGAATTGTCCATAAAAGAAGAAAAAGATGAAATGATGAAAACTATTTCACCATATAAAGATGCTTATAGTGAGAATCGTGCCCGTTTATTTGATCAAAATCAATGCAGCAATCAATCAGCCAAACATGAACATACAATGAAAACATTAACATATCAACAATCATTCGAATGTTTGGAAAAAGCCATTGGCAAAGAAAAAGATTCATTACACAAACAAATGATTCGATTTTATGATTACAGAACTCGTGATGATGAATCAGAACAATCTGATTTTGACGAAAACTACGATGATGATGATGATGATGATCATGATGCTAATGTGATTCGTATAAATTTTAACCATTCTGGTTGAATTTTCATGTAAATATTATTGATTATTTTGTAAAATGAAAATTTTGTAATGATAATCATTTGTCTTTTTTTTTTTTTTAGAAAAATAAATTAGTTCATCGGCGCTGGTTACCAATGGTAACCACCGGTTTTATGTTTTGTTTTTTTTTCACTTGAAACACAAATATCGAATTGGTAAATACAACGATACAACGATATCGTTTTTTTTCTGGTTGGATTTGGATTATTGTTGAAAAAAAAAAAAAAACAACAACAATAATATGAATATGAACGATTTGGTTGGCACATGGGAAGTACCACTTTATGATAAGATACATAAAATTCAATTCGAACATGGAACAACAACTGGCCGTCGTGTATTATGGATCGATAATGATGTAAATGAGTTTCGTTATTGTTTTTTTTTCTTCTCTACATACTGTCGATTTGAATTAACTTTTTTTTTTCTTTCCAAAATTTTTTAGATTATTTTGAAAAAAGAATGGATGTTCAAATTGGTCGGTAGTGAACCGTTTGAGATAAAAAATCCAGATAGTGATGAAATATATGCTAAATGTGAAATTGTCATCAATGCCTGTCTTGGTTTTACATATGAATATATTCTATATGTTAATGGTAAACAATTTAAAACATTTCGCGAAAAACAATCAAAAATTATGCGTGCATGGCATTTTGATTTGAATAATGATGATCACAATGATGATGGCAATGATAACAAACAAACAAGAAAAGAAACAATTTCGTGTTGTATTAGGTATGTGAACGAAAATGTGTTTTGTTTTTTTTTCACAACTAACAATCAATAAATCAATCAATCAATCAATCGACCGCAGAAAAAGATACCCTAGATGTATGGGTAAATGGACAGAAAAAAGATACAACACATGAATTTGGTGATTCCGAAGGCACTGAAATTAAATTCAATTTGGATGAACAACAACAAAATTGTGGCTGTATTAAAACCATAAGCAGTGGTGATAAACGTAAAGGTATGATTTATGTATTAGAAGTGAATGGACAATCTGTCAATGAAAAAGATGTTGAATGAATGAACAAATGATGATCAATGAATTTCATTTCATTTTTTTTTAATTTTATCACCACAAAAAAACACAGTGATCGATTTCAAAATGTTTCAAAAGGCAGAAGAAAAAAATAATTCCATATAGAATTTCATTTTCTAATTTATACACATATATTAGAATATACAGTGAAGAGAAACAAAAAAAAATTTGTTAACAGACTAGTAATTGATTATTCCATTTTGTCCATTTTGTGAAAAGAAAAAAAAATTAAAATTGATTTAACCCATTTGATTGATGATTTGATGCTGCTGTTGCTGTTGTTGTTGTTCGATCATTTTGGAATAATTATATTGTCGAAAAAAATTCTTACCAGTTTCATATGTACTAATCATTATGGCACATGCTGGTGCAACTTTTATTAATCTTGGTACAATACCAGCAAATAGGCCACGATAACCACGTTCATTATAGATTTTCATCATAATATCTTTGGTCTTTTTTGATTTAGTATCACGATCATTGACCAATTGTTTACCCAATTCAATTTGTCTATGTGTTTTGACTACATCGAATGGTAATGTGATGGTTGCGGCAATAGCACCAGATGTTGCACCGGCCAAAAAACTGAAACCAAAATCAAATTCTTTCATTTCAAATATACGTTTTAGATTTTCATAATTTAGCCAATAAATTATGGAAAATGGTACATCACGAAGTAGTGTAGCATTCAAACCGTTCCATAAACGAAATACACCTTCCGAACGTATCAATTGACGTATGGCTGTATCGATTTCATGATAGCTTAATTTTTGTGATTGCATTTTCGTACGAATCATTTCTAATGGAGAGATTACCGTTGCGGCAACCATACGTGCTGATCCACCTGCCAATCCGGGTATCAAAACATTTGCTATACTACCTCCTCCTCGTTGTTGTTGTTGTTGTTGTGTTTGAAGTTTTTTTCGAAGTCTATCACATATCTGATCATAGATGGTGAAATACATCACAGTTGCTGGTACGGCCATTATTCTGATTGAATAAAAACAAAAAAAAAATTCCGAAAAAAGGTATGTAAATAAAAAAAGAAAAAGAAAAACATACAAAGTTGGTGGTAATCCACTCCACAATGATGTAATGCCTTCATATCGTGCAATTTTAATCAATCCATCCTACAGTATGAAAAAAATGAGTTATTTTTCATCATCATCATCATCATCATTCATATATAATAAATGAAAAAAAATACCATGGTTCCATTGAAATAATTTGGACGTCGATACCAAAGATCTTTAATCTGTTTGTCTGTCAAATGTTTAACAGTAGATATACTATGATATGAACAATGTGTATTGGTTTTTTTTGTTGTTGTTTTATTCAATGATGAATGAAAATAATTAAAATTTGTCTGTTTGTTGCTAGCCTGTTGTCCATTAATTTGATTTTGTTTACCGTTAAATTTAGAATCGTTGCTAATGCCATTGCCATTTCCATTGCCATTGCCATTCGTTAGACAATAACAAACATGATCCATTAATCCATTACAATAAAGGAAGCATTTATTTTTCATAAATTCTTTTTGCTGTGCTTGTAATCGTATTTTGACCACATCCAATGGTGTAACTAAAACAAATTAACAACAAATGAATTTATAATAAAAACAAAAACAAAATACAAAAATATACCTAAAATTGATGTTAAAAATGAACCGGTACATGATGAAATCATCTGCTGGACAGGTGTTATTTTTACATCCATTATTTTTGTTTTATCCATTTTGTCAATGTTACGAATACACGTTGTTAGTCAATGATGATAATGATGATGATGATGATGATGATGATGATTAGGAGGAGGACACAGGAGGTGAGTGAAAATTTTTTTTTTTTTGTCCACCTAAATGAAAATCAACAAAAAAAACTAGCGAATATATAAAAATACAAATGCTGAATTATTCATCACATCAATTGATGATATCACGAAAATAAAAAAAAACACGTGACTTTTCTAGTCTAATCATGAATGACGTACACAAATTCATTCATCATTTCTTTAATGAATTTTATGGTTTAAAAAATAGATTAGAAATTTATTCAACAAATGATTCAACAGAAAAAAATGAAAACAAACAAAGCTGTTGTAATGACATTAAAAGGTATAAATGTATAAATGAATTGAATAAATTGTATTATGATGAGTTTGGATAAATTTGATATGATGTAATGACACCCCAATGATCACTGGGAAAACAAACATGAGGTTTCAAACGTTGTAGACCAATCAATCCAAAATGAACAAGATCTATTTGTGATGATGGTACGGAACAACGTACAAACACTCGATCAAAACGCATACGTGGTTTGAATTGTCGTTGACCATCACCACCACTTGAAGATTGTCGTCCCGATTCATCATCATCGTTGTATCGAAGATTATCATTACGTAACATATCCCAAGTATATTGAACTTCACGACGACGTCCTGTTGCCAACCACGCATCTTGAACATTCGATGGTAGGCCACCAATTGCAGCAAGCTATTTCATTGCAGACAAAAAAAAACATATCAATATTAAATGTTGTCAAATCAATCATCAATTTTTTTTAAACCTCTTTGTCACGTAGATTAAAATCACCGGCAGCAATAATTGTATGTTGTTTATCAATTGAATCAAACATTCGTAATAGATGCGCCAATTGTTGTTGACGAATGGCTGAAAATTCTTTCGTACTTTCAAGATGTGTATTCAACAAACATAACTTAGCATTATCGATGGTGATCTGAAGATAAAAATGAAATGTCAAAAAAAAAAAAAAAATTTTGAAAACGAAAATCAAAATCTTACATCAGTACGAAGAATATTTCGTCCCATTCGAGTATCTTTGAAATTGATAATTTGTTGTCCATTATCAATTTGGATCCATGATTTTTTAGCCACTAAAGTCATTGTATAATAATCGGTTGAATGGGCTATAAAACCAGAAAACATTTCAAAATGATTGGATAAATTTTTTCGAATAATCTGTTCAGATTCATTGCGAACTTCTTGTAAAAATACAATAGTAGCTTTTTCATCCATAATAATTTTACATATAGCTTTGATGCGAATTTTAAGATTTTGTTCATTCAAACTATCAATATTATATGTTATATGACGAAATAATCGAAGTTGTTGATTTCTATTGCCATCGTCATCATCGTCATCATCATCATGTTGAACTTTTGCTTTACTATATGAACAAACAAAGAAAATTATTAATTATTGATGATATCGAAATTCTGTTGCAACATACTTTTGAGAAGGCTCATCATTAGATTCTTGTTCTTGTTCTTCTTGTTGTTTTTCGTTTCGACAATATTCTTCATGCATCCATTCAAAATAATCATTTATGGCTTCAACAACTTTCCATGAATGTTTTTTCAGATATTCTTGTGCTGTTTGATTGTCACCTTCGGTGACAGCCATAAATTCATCGATTAATTTTTGTCGATCATCATCATGTTGAACTTTTGCTTTCCTATATGAACACAAAGAAAATTATTAATTATTGAAGATATCGAAATTCTGTTGCAACATACTTTTGATCAGGTTCATCATTATATTCTTGTTCTTCTTGTTGTTTTTCGTTTCGACAATATTCTTCATTAATCATCCATTCAAAATAATCATTTATGGCTTCAACAACTTTCCATGAATGTTTTTTCAGATATTCTTGAGCTGTTTGATTGTCACCTTCGGTGACAGTCATAAATTCATCGATTAATTTTTGTTGATTATCCATGATTAGTAGTGGAAAAAAAATTTACTTGAATCAGATTGGCATTTGAAAGTTTTAAATAAATGTCATGCTTCGATATTCGCATTCATGCTGAATCATCATCACGCGGTCATGAACTGTCATTCATTTTTATTTTTTGATTGTATCGATAGTTTCGTTTGATAAACAAACAGAAAAAAAAAAATTCTCATTCTTGTAATTTGAGATTCGATTGCAAACAAACACAATATATTCGGTCATCAGAATTGTTTACATTACCTGTATACCTGCAACCAGAACAAAAAAAAAACCCAAAACCAAACCAACATGCATTAATCATAATATAATTGTTGTTGGTTGTGGGCTTCAACAACAATATAACAACAACAAGAATGTTTCATTTTTATGTATTCACCCATTTATATTCATTCTGGTGAGCTATTTATTATGGTTCTTCATTCATTCATGATAAAAGTGCCTAAACAAAATTGTTTACATTGAAAAATTGAATTCCAAAATATTGAATATCATGAATTGAAATGAAATTATTATTATTATTGTCAATGTATATCATCATTATCGAACAACAACAACAATAAGTGTGTCCAACAAGAAAAAAAAATGAAAAAAAAACTAAAACAAACAATCAAGTGATGAACAACAAGAAATAACTGGTATCATCTGGTATGAACCAATAGAAATATAAAAAAAAACAAAACAAATTTTTTTACTGCCATTCTTATTGGATAATAATCGAACGAACGAAAAACATTGCTCAATTTCAATTTGTCATTTTTTTTTTTTTTTTGCTTGTTCTTCTGATTTGATTAACGATTTATTTCCTTTTTTCTCTCTCTCCCTTTTTTCATTATCTAGCCACTGATTGATTGATTATTAGTTAAATTGAAGAAATTTTTCATATATGCTCCCATCATTCAAACCAACCAATGCTGGAAAAATGCCTTTTTTTTGGTTACAAAACCAATGAATCGTATGACCTTATCGTCGTTGTCTTTTTTTTCTTGTGATTAACAAAATGCAACATTGCATGCCGTGACCAGTTATCATCAAAACAAACCATTAAAGAACACCGGCGGCGAAAAAAAATAGCCAAAATTTATCTTGTTTCATTCACAAAAAAAGTCGACAATCTAAACACAAGAGTAAGAAAAAAAAGAAAACTTGCTATACCAGAATTTTTTTGAAATGAATGAAAGAATAATCATGATCATCATCATCGAAAGCTTTTAGCGAATCATGATTTTTTTTTATTTCGCAAATTATTCAATAAACACACACACACATGAGAACGACAACGACAACATTGAGCATCCAAATTTAAATAGCCAACCTGTCTAAATCAATATCATCGAAGTTGTTATTCAACTTTAAATTTTCATTCAAATCTTCTTCTTTTTAAAGTGGGTATGTGATGTAATTTTTTTTTTTTGGTTTTTCTTTCTTACAATTTTTATTCATATACAATATATACACAGTGTATATAAATTCTCATCATCATTGAGGATCACCACTTGTTTGCAATATACAATATTGTTAATGCATTAAGATTTTGTATCCTCACATCACATCACATCACAATATATATTGTTGTTATGCTTCTTCTGCTTGTTGTTGTTGTTGTTTTTTTACAACCTCTTTACCAAATCATCATCATCATCATCATCATTGATTTAATATACTGCTCAATTCAATGGAAAATCATTCATTGAAATCATACAGTGAAGCTTACAGTCAAGTTAATCTGTCTGATGATGATGGTGTGTAATTATGTTTGTGTGTGCATGTGTGTGTGTGTGGATGTTTCGATGGGCGACAAAGACGATTTTTTTTGTTTTGTTTTGTTTCGTTTCTTAAATCGTTGCAGTCTATGTGTGCATAGAAGAAGATAGTAAATGCAAACATGCAATAGTAAAGATTTTTCATCATTCACTACTGATGTACCGAAGAAAAAAAAATCATTTTTTCTGTCTGGCGTCGACTCTAATATGACGGCAACAATGATGATGATGATGACGATGATTTAAATCACAACAACAAAGAAAAATAAGCATTGTGGGTTTATTTTTTTTTGCCCTTTTCCGTTCATATTTTATTTTTTTTTTTCAAATTGAATGCAATTTTTTTTGGTGATGGTGGTGGTGGTGGTGGTCGTTGTCTTTGGCGTTTTGCTACTGCTATTTGATTGCGGCTTTTTAAAGAGAGATTTTCTAAATTTCGGGCATTATTATTGACAATAATAATATTATTATTATCCCATTATTATTATTATGATCATGAACACACACACACAAAATTAATTCTTCTATAGTGGCTTTTAATGTACCAAATATTTCAATATTCAATAACAACAACAACAATAATAATTCAATTCAATTCAATTCAATATAACCAACTTTTGTTTTCATCTCATTAAATTTCTTTCTCTCTCTCTCTCTCTCTCGTGTTTTTTTTAATTCAGGTTTTTTTTACATTGTGATTCCTGCAAGATTCAAAAACTTTTTTTGTGTGTGTGTGTGTGTTTGCGAATAACAAAATACCCAGAATTATTCCTTTATTATTTTGATTGGTATTGTTTTGTGTGTGTGTGTGTGTGTTCACAATCACTATATATTGCGAATTGATTGAAGAAAAAAAAAGAAAAAAGTTTTTTATCATCAAATCATTTGTTTTGGTTGTTGTTTTTCATTACTGCAGTCGTTGGCAACAAAACAAAAAAAAATCCAATCAAATAACTATAGACTTTTTCTTGGAAAATACTAAAACTTTCTAGAGAAAAATTTAAAGTTTTTTTTCTATAATCATCATCATCATCGTTTAAAATTTGATGATGACATGAGAATGACAAGAGAGTTACACTAAACTATATAATGAATGAAAGAAGAAGATCAAATTGAAAATGAACAATTAAATGTCGTTAAAATCATCATTATCATTATTACTCGGTTAAAGAACCAAACAGAACAAAACAAAACGACAAAAAAAATATGAATTTTTTCTTGTGAAAACAATATATACTCATCATCATCATCATCATTTTTTTTTCATAATCATACAGGGTATCATCATCATCATAATTCATGTCGGAAATTTTATCAAATAAAATATCAATATATACCTCATATATATAGTAGCTATAATATAATTATGTCAATGATCTGAATGATGTAAAATGAGATAATTATTTTTGTTTGTTTCAAATTTCAATCATCTAAATCTTTCAACGAATAAAGAAAAGAATTTTTTTACCATTTCTCTTCTCTTCAAACCACCCCAAATCATTATTTTTTTTGCCACTGTGTACAACTTTCGCACCAAACTTTCATCCATCATATATTAATAATAATCCATTTTATTCTCACTTGTACACAGACAAGACACACACACGATATAATACGAATGATATGTTCTCAAGTTACGTTTTTTCCGAGATTTTTGCCCCCTGCCATCATCATTATTTTTTGTCGACAACAACAGTAATGAAAAAAAATGAAAATAAAGTCATGAAGAATTTATCAACCCGGTAACAATCGATATACTTGATATATACCTCAAATTTATTTCTAACCAATTCACATCGTTCATTCATTCACACTTTTTCTGGTGATAAAATTTTAATTTTCCATCTTGAAACATGTCATATTATAATCAGAAAAATTATTGGTCATCACCATTATGGCCATTCTATTCAACATTAAACATCAACATCACAATACGATCATCATTTAGTCATCGAAAATTTGTCATTTTATTATTTGGCCTAATATTTTGCCATTCAACATTATGTTTGTCACATATGATCACTGATCATCATCATCATCATAATGATGATGATGATGAATATTTAAATTTAAGAAAAGAATTTCCATGTGGTCACATTCCACCTAAACTAAATCAGATACGATTTGTTCATATCAATCATCATCATAATAGAAATAAACGCAATGAACAACCAACAATAAATCATCATCAAAATTTACGAATCAAATATTTTTATGATGAAAGTGTAGAGAAAATTACCAAGGAAAAATATTTAATCATTGATGTATGTTTGTTTTTTATTTTCCATTATATAATACTGATAATGATAATTAATTGATATTTAATTCAACAATTTTTGTTGTTGCCAACTAAAACAGAAAGTTGTATTACCTGAAGCAATTAGCTATTGGCAACAAGCATTATTTGTAAAACCATTCCATGTGCCTATTAAATTAAATCGGTTAGTTAATTAACATTTGCATTTGTTTTGTTGATGATTGATTAATGATCCTTAAACTATTGTTTAATTTTTTTTTTCGTCTCTCCCATTCAACAATGCAGACGATGTATACGAGATAATCCAGATTTTTTAGTTAATCAAGACTATTGTATTGAAGGATGTGAACAGCATACACTTTGTGGTGAAGTTGTCATACCTGATGAACATCTTGAAGTAAATATTTCCTAATGGATTTTTAAATACTTTTATTAATTACTTTTATTATTGTTTTATCAGGATTGTGTTGTCTGTGATGAACATGGACGAGATTGTGTACGAGAAAAACCATCTGGCACAAATCATTCGTTAATCAATGGTATACAAGATGCTGATTTTGTTTTCTATATTTCAACATTACAATCGGTTCGATGTGGAAAGGGCAGTACGATTGCCTATGCTGCTCATTGTCAACAGGAAACTACGTTAAATCGGTTTGTAATGGATGAAACATATAATACAACAGTAATATTGATGTTGATTTGATTTTCAGACCAATCGCAGGACATGCAAATATATGCCCGGATTCAATATCGACCAAACCACAAGATCTAGAGACTTTGATCTCAACATTTAAACATGAAATTTTACATGCACTTGGATTTTCCGTTTCATTATATGCCTTCTATCTTGATCCGAATGGTTTGAATCCGACTGTTGATGCTTTTAAAAAACTGCAAAACAAACAACAGACCTTGGCTAATAATCGATCCACTTTTAATGGTGGTGGATCAATGTTGATGATTTCCAAAAAAATTCTACAACGTGTTCCACGTAAAAATTGGATGGTACGAGGTGGAAATATAACGAATAATGTTTTTGTCATTTCTACACCAAATGTCTTGGTAATATTTTCTGTAAAAATTTCATTTATTTATTTATTTATTGTCTTTATTTTATCGATTTGTTAGCGAGAAGTACGAAACCATTTTAATTGTTCTAAATTAGAAGGAGCTGAATTAGAAAACCAAGGTGAAGATGGAACATTGTTGACTCATTGGGAGAAACGATTATTTGAAAATGAAGCCATGACCGGTACACATACCCAGAATCCTGTCTATTCACGAATAACATTAGCCTTGATGGAAGATACTGGGTTAGCATTTTTTTCATTCTTTTAAAACGTCGATATTTTTAATGAATTAATTTTATTTTTATTCCACATTTAGTTGGTACAAGGTCAATTATAGTCTAGCACAGCCATTGGAATGGGGTCGAAATCTTGGCTGTGATTTTGCAATGAAATCATGTAAAGAATGGATGGATACAAAACGTCATCAAGGCAAATCGATTCATCCGTTTTGTGATCGTGTGAAAAAAGATCCTTTACAGACCGAATGTAATGACAATAGAGATTCGGTAGCTTTATGTAATCTACGTCAATATGATCAAAAATTGGATAGAAAATTTCAGATTTTCGATGAGATAAAAAATGTTAGCCAAGATGCTGTTAGTTATTATGGTGGCTCCGTTATTTTGGCCGATTATTGTCCTTATATACAGGAATTCACATGGAAACAGAATAATGAAACTGTTCGTGGATCGAAATGTTCTTTTCCTGAGAATAATCCATCTATCGAAAAAAATTTTGCTCTCGAACATTATGGAACCAATTCGAAATGTATGAATCATGGCGATGAAATGTGGGTCGAACGAACATGTCAAGAGGTAATATTGATTGAATGAATAATTTTTCTTTCTAATATATTGGATATTTCCATTCATATTAGATACGACAATGGCAACATTGGGGTTCTGGTTGTTATCAATATCGATGTACGGAAGATGGTTTTCTCAGCATTATAATCAAAAATCATACATATGTTTGCATGTTTGATAATCAAGAGATTAAGATTCAACTTTCCTATAATAATTGGCTACATAAAGGTTCAATTATTTGTCCAAAATGTACGGAACTATGTTCGGTATGTGTGTCATTCGTATACATTGAACATATGATCATTGATTGATGCTATTTTTTTTTTTTGTCAAATAGAACTGCAAACAACTCGATCCTGAAAGTCTTGAACGTTTAAAAAATGAAACAATATATGATCGTGATCATTTAAAATGCTCAGCAACAACACCGAATTATTTTAAAAATTATTCCTATTTTTTGTTTTTTATTTATCTAATTTCATCTGTGATAATCACCCATTTTTTCTTCACAACATTCTCGCATTCACATCTCTAACATGAATGATTGTATGATAATGTTTTGTGTCTGTGTGTGTGTGTGTGTGTGAGATATCGTGTGTTGATGATAACGATAACGATGGGAACAAGCCAAGAGTAGCACACACACACACACACACACAAACATCTTTATCATCCACACACACATTCTTTAGATTACCATTCTGTTTTATCAGCTTTTTTATCAATTGTTATGTTGACAGTATTTTTTTCTGTTGTTTTTCCAATTTTCCCTCTTAACTTGATTTTTTTTTTACTGTAACATATGTATCTACAGATTGTCATCTAGATATCAAAAGCCCATTCGACATGTTTTCCCATCAATTTTATTGCGATAGCAATAAAAAAAAAAAAAGAATATTCCAGAGTCCAATTTCTAATCATCATAGTTCATCACTCATTCATCTTTTATGGGCTTAATTTAAGAACTTTAAACATTCGTTCATTCATTCATTCATTTTGCAAAAATCTTAATTTGTTTTCCCTCAAAGGGCTTTCATCATTCTATCATTTTTTTATATATCACCATGGAATCATCGCTATACAAAAATTGCAGAAATTCTTAAGCACCAAAAAAAAAAATTCTTCAAAACAACAACAAATAGGAAATTTTAAACAGGTGATTTTCTTTTCACTTTCTTTTTTTTATATATACAGAATTTCAACATTGCCTAAATTAATGTAAAAGCTTTCTTTTATTTTTTAAAATTCCATCATTTACTTATAACTTTTTTTTGAAATCGACACAAACACCCACACACAAGTGACCAATTTTTTTTTTAATTTTATTTATTTTTATTAATTGTTCATTTACCATTTATAATTTATATTTTATGAGAGATATGATTCAAAGAAAAAAAAACAAAATTCCGCTTTCACAAAATGAATGTCAAGAATGAATGAAAATTTAATTCACTTTTTTTTGATTAAAAGAAAGAATTGAAAAATCTACAGATATGAATCATTGAAATTTTTTTTTTTAGATTGGCAAACGTGATGATCAACACGTCGACGACATACACACACACACACACACACAATAGCCGGACAATTTATTTTTTTTACTTTCATAAGTTATGCATGTGCGTGTGGGTGACCTCGATCAGGCCAACAATCAGCCAAACCCAAATTGAATTAAATATATACATGCTTTTTGTACGTTTAGGACTTGTAGTCCGTAATTGGTCAAAAATATGTTGTCAATAATCGTCTTTTTTTCAATGAATGAAAAAAAAATTCAATTTTCATAAGGAAATGATTGGAGAATTTCTATTTTTTTTTTCTTTTTTTTTTTAATTGAATTCGAATGATAAAAACGTTTTTTGGTTAATTTTGTCAAATGACTTTTGTTTTGTTTTGTTTTTTGGTTATAAAATGAAAAAAAATTTGATTAAAAATTGTAAAATACTGGCAACGGGAAGCGAACTAAAAATTATTGAATTTTCCAATTTGGTTCTATTTCAAAAACTGTTGGATTTTTTTTTTTTGCTGTGAAAAAACAAAGCAGCAAGGTAACACACCAGGACCAGTGATAGATAGATAGACAGTAAGATAGATCTTATTGATTGATTGTTAATGGTTTTTGTTGTTGTTGTTGTTATTGTTGGTTTCGGTGATTTGATCAACCAAATACTTGATCGACAAATTCCAGAAGTTTCTTTTTTTCATGTGATAATTTTAACGCATCAACACAATTACCAAACACTTCGTTTCGGAAGCAATCTTTCCTATATAATTTAATAATAAATTAAACAAAAAAAATGATCAGATAATTTCGCAAATGAATGTCAAGAAAAAAAAATTACATGATGATTCATACAAGGTGGGAAAAATATTAGAAATGCCTTAAGGCTAAATGTGTATGTCTATGTTGATGTATCATCATATAAAGAAGCCATGTTGTCCAAACATGTTTGTGAAAATAAATGACCAGCCGGCTTTTTCGTGATCTTAGACATGTGTCTGTAAAAAAATATAGTTATACTACCTTTATAGCTTCAATAAATCACTATTTTTATGATGATAATTAGGGCCATGTGCCAAAGGAATTCCAACTATGTCGATCGGATGGTGTATGCGAGTCTATGAGTGTGTGTGTGTGTGTGTGTGCCTGATGCAATCGATTAGTAATCAAAGTTGAAAAAGAGATTAACCGGCCGGTCATTTGTACAAATATGGTTATGGTTAAAACGGCAATAAAGATATAGGAAGAATATTAAAACAATAGAAATGAAAATAAAACATACCGACAACTGATGTTTAATTCAGGTTCACGATAAAGAATATAACATTCTTCACATATTCGATCTAATTCAGTAAATTTACTAATGTCATATTCACCAAGACATCCAAGCAATGTGAAACTTCTTGATTCGCTGCTATTAATGACAAATGCTGCCATAAACAGCAAAAAACTGACCAACAATGTACCAATTCGTTTCGTAATGGCCGATTTATTCCTAAATGAATGAATCATCATTTAAATTAAAATTAAAAAAAAAATTTAAATTTTAAATTTTTTAAAATTTAAATTACATACATTAAAATGGGATAAAATGACCAATAAAAAAAAGTAGACAAAAAAAATCAACGATATTCGATGAAAAATCAATAAATCAATCCAAATAATAATCAATTTATTATTTATCTGATGATGTGAAAATGAACGAAAACAGAATATCGACGAAAAAAAAAATTTATGAATGGAAGGAAACAAACAACTGAATCTGAATGCCTGCAAATGGCTACGTTGCAGCCATATTTATAACTTCGTGTAAATCATACGATCTTATTTTTTTTTCTTTTTTACTTCTCGTTGATAATAATCTTAAATATATAAAAAAAAATAATAATAATGATGATTATTATCACCAAAGCGGCCGCCTTGTCTTACCATTTTTTTTTCATTCGTCTTGTTTTGAATTTTTCTATCTATCTATCTATCTATATCTTACGATGATGATACGTTTATGTATTCACGCACACACATATACAAGATATTTCTTGTTTGTTTCTTGTGTGTGTGTTTGAGCTTCTACCTTTATAGCATGACATGCCTTTGTTGATATACTTTTTTTCTTATGTTTATTTGTGGGTGGAGTGTGTGTGTGTGTGTGTGTGTGTAAAATGAAAATGTTGTTTAAACGTTTCAACTTCGTCATGTCATGTCATGTCCAGAAGAAAACAAAAATTTTTTTTTTGTTTGTATGGTTTTTTTCCCATCATCTTTTCTTATATATTAGTTCTCATGGTTCGACAAAAATGTAGATGGGTAATCTACGTATATAACACCACCATATTTTTTTTTTAGTCATAATCCATTTTATTAAATCATTCGATTAATGAAACAATTCAATTTTTTTGTCAAAATAATTGATTTCGATTCGATTGCTTATTGCAATTTGATCTTTATAGATAAATTTATTCAACATATATGTAGTATATATAGCAATCATCATTATTGAAATGATGATTTGATTTGAAATTTAAATCATCAACAACAATGCTGACATCTATTGACTTAAAACAGATATATAGAATAAAATTTTAATTAATTAACAAAAATAGCATCAATAAAACAAAATTTTAAATATCTATAAACAGTTAAAAAGGACAACAGGACGGAAACAGAATAAATGAATAAATAAAAAGAGATAGTAGTTTAGCCATTTTTAGGCTGTTGGTTTTGTTTTCTCATCATGGTGGCCATTTCTTCAGCCGATGGTACGCCCACAACATTACTTAGATTATCCACTAAACAGAAAAAAATATACAAACCAATTAATTCTTATATTATGAAACATAAAAGAAAACGATTACTTACCCACAGAATCAAATATGGAAACAGGATTGAATGACCAATTTCTAACGGCATGTGACACTGTTGCCACGGCGGCTGTTTTTATGGCCGATCGGAAATCACCACTGGATGATGGTTGTTGTTGAGAAGAATTTGAATGATAAGAATTCGATTGCACTTGATTATGTAATTGATGATATTGTTTGGATGAAATCGATGACGGTGCCATAATAGCTGTTGCCATTGAATTCTGTGAAGATTTATTATTTTCAAATTTTGTTGCAACTGTTTTTTTGGTATTGGATCGCTTTGTCCAGTCTTGTTCATCATCATCCCATGCATCATCATCATCATTGATTTTGGCAAATTTAGGTTTCGATTTGTTTTGCTGCTTAGAATCAGAATCAAAACGATCAACGAGATTAAATTTTGGTTTGCTTTTTGCCAATAAACGATCAATCTTTGAATGAGTTTTCAATGGTTTTGTTTCAACAACCGAATCTTTTTTTGTCCAATCATCCCAGTCATTATCTTGATCTTCTTCGAATTTAGGTTGAGATTTTTTAACAACCTTATGATGTTTTGATGAAATTTCTTTTGGTTTGGGTAAGATCAACACAGCAGATTCAGCTTTGATGGTAGATTCTTCATTCTTTACAATAGATTCTACTTTAGGTTTTTCGACATCTTTTCGATTATCTTGTTCCATTTGAACGTTCGAAACAGCTTCACATTCTAATACATCAGAAGTTTTTGTTTTTTCTTCGATTTTCAAAAGCACATCATGATCGACTTGAGATTCATCGCCCCAATCATCCCAACCACATTGCATATCATCGAATATGGGATCAGATTTTTTAACAATTTTATGCGAAGAGGATTCATTTGATTTGGGTAAAATTAATACAACTGAATCAATTTTTTGTGTTTCAGCAAATGTCTTGACTGAATCGATTTGTTCTGTAGAGGATTTTTCCGTAATCGAATCTTCAAATTGATCTGGTTGAGAAATTGTAACAATGTTTGTTTCATTGTCGTTCCAATTATCATTCCATGCATCATCATCCCAATCATTGGATTTTGAATTTTCATTTTGAACATTTTTTTCAATCATGCTTGATTGTTCAACACAAGAAGAATCTTCTCTCGAAAAAGATTGCTTTTCATCAAGAGGTATGAATTTCAAATTTGTTTCAGTTACTTGATCATTATTGATTTCCAGTTCAATTTGATTGTCAATATTTTTTTCACACCAATCATTCTTTTCTTGATCGTCTTCTTGGCGGCTGTTTGAATTATTTATATCAGGATCATCTTCATTATAGATCGAACCAACATCGGGATTTATTTCAATCTTTTCTTCATCTAAATTAAATAAAGATCTTAAATTAATAATAACAATTAAATGTTTCAATTGGTCTTACTTTTGATTTGTAATTCATCATCATTTATTTGATCCAATGGAATTTTTTCGGCCGTTGTTTCAACAGCCATTTCATCGAATGAAGGTGTTGATGAAGGTAAGACACGAGGTTCACTAATATTATCTATCACAGTTGTAATTTTTTCTTTGAAGGCATCTAAATCTGATAATGTTGCTGCCGATATAGTGTTGCATTCAAGATTTTCAGATTCTAATTGTAAATCAAAATCGGTTGAAATCTTTTCATCAGATATTGATTCATCAATTTGAACGATTTGATTTTTATCGTGATTCGTAACGATTTCTTGAACATTTAATTCACTTTCTTTGGTCAGCATATCATTTGAATTTAAATCGATTGACCAATCAATCGGATTTGATTTTTGTTCAATTGATTGACAATGATGTCCGATTTCAGATGAATTTGGTTGTTCATCGGTAATTTGTGTTTCGATTTCTTTATCTTCCCAATCATCCCATCCATCTACAATTTCATTTTGTTCTTTAGCAATGAACGATTCGTTTCGATCTTCAATTGGATTTTTCTGATATTCCCAATCAGTACTTGAATCAGATGAAACAATATTATCTGAATCATTTGCTTTATTTGCTGTTAAAATTGAATCTTCGAAATTTTCTATTATTAAAGGTACTTTTTCAGCAATTCCATTATCATTTTAAATTGATTATCTGATTTCAATTCCAAATCCTGTCCGATTTGTTGCAGCATTGGGTTATTAACAGCGGATGGTAACGAATTTAAAATAATTTCATCACTAGAATCAATATCACAGTCATTGTTTTCCCATTGATCATCAGCTGATTCAAATGGCGGAATTTCTGAAGGACAAGAGATTTGATCGAAGAATTTTATTTCAGCTGGTGATTGGTCTTCAGTAAATGCACCGATTTCATCAACATCATCTTTAATTAATGAAGATTGTGTTTCATGATCATTAGTCTTAGATTTTAAATCTTTCGAGAAAGACTCTACATTTTCGCTGGTTTCATCATCTTCCCAATGGTCCCAGCCATCATTAATAGATTTTACATCTTCATTTTCATTTGATTCAGGTATTTTTGTTTGTTCTATGTCATAATTATCATCCCAACCATCCAATGGTTCTTCTTTCACAGATGAATCATTTGAGTTTGGAATATACGGTGGACAAATACATAGAAAAGGAACGCTTTCATTATTGCAAAGTGAACCGATTTCTGGAATTTCTTTCGTTTCGGATAATGGAATAGTCGTTTCGTTGGACAATGGTTGGCTTTTTTTAGCCAAAACAATAGGTTCATCATCCCAATCATTCGACCAATCATCGGCTATAGTAGAATCTGGTTCGATACTAGAAGTATGAGATGTTGGTTGATTATCTTGTCAAAAATCAAACGATCAACATTGGTTAAATTTTTTGCAACCGGTAAACTAGCTGCATTTGTCAATATAATATTCTGTGCATTCACCAATTGTTTGGCAGCATGATTCATCGTTGTTGATGCTGCAGTTTTTGTAGCTTCACCAACAATTTTTGTTGCCGAACTTAAACCAGATAGCCAGGAATTTGTTATGTTGGAAAAATTTATCAAAGCTTGAGCCGTGTCATTTGTGGCTAAAGTTTTATCGAAAATTTCTTTGGATTTTTCCATATCTTTTTCAGCATTCGGTATTGAACAATTTTCTTTATCATAAAAAATTGTCTCAACTTTTGGAAGTTCAGATTTTGCAATTTGAGTTTCAACTTGTTGAATTCGAGCTAATTTTTCTTCAACAATAGGATTTGTTTTACTTGTACTGTCAGTTTCATGTCCAGATTCAATACTTGAAGACCAACGTTCAAGAGGTTTTGATTCGAAATTCTGTCCATCATTGTTTAATGATGATGGATTATCCAGACCAACGGTGGCAATTTTTTGAATTATTTTATTTGTTCTTTCTAACAGTTTCATATCGACAATAATTTTCTGTGGATTATCATTCCAATGTGATAAAATTTTGCCAGTATTCAAAAGTTTATTATGGAATTTCAATCCAAACGTTTTACTATCATCAGATTTTTCCGAAGAATTGTCACTTTGATTATGTGATTTTGAAATGATAGGCTTTTTTCCATCAGATGAATTGAAAAATTCTTCATCACTTTCATCCAATTCATTGAAATTTTTTGTAAGCCGTTTCACTTTACGACCTTTGATGAGGATTTTTTTCGAAACATTTCGTCGTTCAATATTTACATCCAGTTCTGATGAGTTCGAATGAAAACAATACAAAAAAATTAAATTAAATCAATTAAATTAGAACATTTGAACATACCGTCATGATTATTGCTTGAAATCGAGTCCTCATCACCGTTGACCATAATTATACTTCTTGAATGACACGTGCACACAATAAATATCACTGAGGTAAAGAATGGATCATGAAGATTGCTGATTCAAATACTAAAAATCTTTTAATCGAGAAAAAAATGTTTAAAATTTAAAGATGAACAAAGTACTGACGTGTCGTATTATCACTTCAATCTCGAACATTTTTTTAATCCATAAACAGAAAAAAGATTCTTAATGAAACGAAAACATCGATACAATCGATAAATTTTCGGTCAACATTTGATTTACCACGATGGCATCAGCTTATGGAAATAAGAATGAACCGATACCGATTGTAGATAGAGAAAAGCTTTGTTTACCGACTTTTTATACAAGTCCGACTGGTGTTAAATATTCACTTGATACATGGCAAGAATCCGATGTTAATGGTTTATATGAAATATTCCACGATGTTATTGAAGAAGGTCAAACATATCCACAAGAAACAATAAACCTGGATGAATTTCGACAATATTTTCTTTCCAAATATTGTTTCATCATTCGTTTAGCGGAATCGACTAGTCCAGATTCTAATTCAATCGTTGGTGGATTCTATATAAAACCAAATTTTCCTGGAAGATCATCACATTTAGCAAATTATGGTCTTTTGGTGAATCGAAAATATCGTGGACAAGGATTGGCAAATTTTATGGTCGAACAATGTATTCGTTTGGCACAATTATTAAAATTTAAAGCATTATATACAAATCTTGTTTACGTAACGAATATACCGTCGATAAAAACATGTCAACGTTATGGTTTTCAAATAGTTGGTCGATTACCAAAAGCAGGCAATTTAAAACAATTTGGTTTTACAGATGCATTACAATTTTTTAAAGATTTAGAACAATAATGATTTCATTCATCATTACAATAAAACCACAAAAATTTTATATTGAAAAATAATTTGTAAATAATCATCATCATCATCATTTTGAATCATCGCATTCATTTGTTGGAAAATAATCAACCAAACACATGATGAGTGTCCAATTCAGAAAGTTCGAAAAAAATCACCCTATGAAATTGGATGAACGAATAATGTCGTATCATCATACGAAAGTAGATGGCAGCAATAGGTCTATATTTGATCATTCTAATAGTGAATGATTGGAAATTATTTCATTCATCATTCATTTATGTACAACAAGAACAACAAGAATTTTATTTCAAAAAAATTTGTAAATTTATTAATTATAATCTGGTTCGATGATTTGAACTTGATCACAAGATGAATCAAGATTTGAACATTTGCCATTTATCAATTTCCATCATGATCATTGTTATCGCCATCGTCAATCCGTTGCCAATATGATTTTTTTTTTGTCTAGAAAATGAAAAAAAAGTTAGATTATTATGACACTTATGTAATAAACAAACAAAAAAAATTACCTGAAAATGATTGTTTAATAATAATTGTTGTTGTTTAAAAAAAAAAAACACTTGAATCGATGATGGTCCATTAACAAGAAACCTGTAGAAACGAGCTTCTGACACCTAAAAATGTCTACAAAAGCCCGGATTCTACAGGGTAGCTCGAGAATGGAATAAATATATCAATATGTTTGTTGAATGTTGTTCAAAAAAAATTTGATATCATAAAACTAAACACTGGAATTCTGGAACTACGAAAGAAAATGGAATAAATAATGAGAAAAACAAAACACAGTACACACACACTACACACATACAACAAACATAAATCATTGGATTATCTTTCGAATGTTTAGGACGAAAACAAATGGATGGATGGATGGATGATGGTCATGATCATGACCAGAGGCCAACTATACAATGAATGAATGAATGAATGATAATTATCTCTACCATCATTCAACAACAACAATAACAATCATCTCACATTTCTCTCACTTTTTTTTCGTATTTTGTCAATGATTTTCTCTCTCTTTTTTCTGTTTATCCATCCATCCATCCATCCAACCATACACCTATTATTATCATTTGGCAAAATGAAAAAAGAAAGAAAGAAAAGAAAGAAGAGAAAAAAATAGGTACATTAAAATCATTGACTACAGAAATAAAAAAAAAAAGTATTTGAAACTGAGAACTATCATTAAAAATGAAATGAAATGAAATGAAAACATTGATGATGATGATGATGATCGAACGACGTGTCCATTGAATTTTTATCATCATTACTTTTTTTTTCTTCTTATTATTAATGTGTTGCTCTCACTCACTAGCACACACACTGTATTTTCTTACAATATATACACACACACACACACACACACACACACACACACTACAATGACATATTCAAAAAATAAGTACACACCTTACTTACATCCATCCATACATATAAACCATGAAGAGATACCAACAAATATTTCTTAAGGTTACCATCCTCTCTTTTATATGATACAATCATCATCATCATCATCATCATCATCAGCATCATTATCGTTGTCCTATACACACACACACACACACACACAATAGCATGAGAATGTGAGAATAACAAAAAATGAATAAGAAATGATTATAGACCTACAAAACACATTCGAAATTCACAGATATTCGCATCCATATCCTCTCTCTCTATTTCTCTCTCAACAACAAAAACTGCAATAAGAAAAATTTATTGCAAATAACAAGAGAGAAAAAAAAAGTAACCCAAAGAAATGCAAATGGTTTTTCTCCATCTCTCTCTCTTATTCGATTTTTCATTCATCAATCCATTTTCGTTTCAAGATTCAAGATTTTTTTTTTTGTATGAAAAAAACTGCAATATAAATTGAAATGAGTAAGAGAAAAAGAAAGAGAAAAAAATCAGAGTTTCATTTCTTAAAAAGATGATGATAATGATGATGATGATTATCGAGAGAGAAATAGATGGAAAAAAAATATCTAATGTGTCGATCATGTGAATGATGGGTAAAAATTGGTAATGATGATGATGATGATTGCTGACATTCAATCATGTGAATGTGAAAAAAATTTTTTATTTTCTTCACAAAATTTCCCTCATTTTCTTACTATCGATGATGATGATGATGATATTTTCGTTCAACGAATCAAATTCACATAAGAATATAATAAGAATATTTAAGTGGGGTGAATATTTCTGCCTCAATCTATCGGCAGAATAATACAGAATAAATGAATAGAATTTGTTGTTTTTTTTTCATTTTCATTGCTTTTTTTCTGAAGGCAGCTATTTGGAGAATTTTTCAAAAAAAAAGAATCGAAATGAAATGAAATAAAAATTCCACAATATCAAGTCTCCATGGACCTCTTATTCATTGATGAAATTTGAGAATTTTATTGCGGAAAAAAATATATATTATATATGGCTACATATGGCTATACTCGCCCCATTTTGTTTCGGTTGGTGATGGTTCCGGCCACAATTCACAATTCATAACGAATGGAGAAAAAAAAAAAAACAAACTGATTGTACAGACTGATAAATTTCCAGAATTTCTGTGGAATAAAAAAAAATTTTTGATGAAAAAACACACACACACACACACACACACACACACACAACAAACAATCATATTTGATGCTGGATCAATTATTCAATCATCAAACACACACACAACAACAACAAAACAAAAAAAAAAAAACATTCATTCATTCATTCATTCATTCGATGAGTTTAATCTATTTTCAAAAACAATTGAATGCAATTCAAGTTTGTAGACTAAAAAAAAAGAAAGATGATAAGTTGATGCGATAACGACAACCAACTTGGATGGATGTACGAACAGAATTGAACGGAAAAAGGCCATCACATAGGCCTTTTTTCCCTTCAAATAACAAACACACACACACATGCGAGTGTTTATCGTAATGCTATATGCTAGCTGTTATTTTTTTTCTGGATCAAATCGTCATCATCATCATGATAATCACTTTCATCTTGACTACTTCCACACACACACATAGACACATAGAATTTGAGTTTAGAATCAGAATTTGATACAACAAACTACCAGTGGAAATAGTTTCGGTTTTTTTTTTTTTTGAACACATTTTACTACTACTATTTGGCAAATAAGAATAATGGGAAGAGAAAAAAAAAAACTGTGACTGAATCAATTGACTATACACACACACACACACACACACACACACACACACACGTCCTGGTCGATTGTGTGTTTGTGGACCAGGATCAATAATAATTTGACGTATGTGTGTGTGTGTGTATGTAATGTGCAAAAAAGGGTGTAGGCTCTATATCCACCCACCATCATAATTTAGCTATATTCGAAATGAAATGATTATTATTATGATTATGAAATGTGCCAAACAACAACAACAACAATAATAATAATAATAATAAGTATAAGTATAAGCAATCACGCAATCACGCACCCAGAATAACATTGTAAATATTAAAGTGAATAAAAAAAAATTACTTTACTTTAAAAAAAAATGAAATAAAGAATATAAACTTCATGAATCCAATTGGAATGAATGGCGCCAAGGCAATTCGTTTTTTTTTTTTGGATCCAAATATACCAGTAACAACAAAATACCAGTAACAAAACTGACGAAAGAAAAAAAAATGGAACAACCAACTACTACCACCACCACCACCACCACCACCACCACTAACCACCATCAATACAGCCGCGAAAGCCGATAAATAAATTTACTAAATGAAAGGAAAAAAAATGATAACACTATCGTGGCGTCGGCGTTAGAAAAAAAAACCGACGATGGCTAGCTAGTGTGTGTGTGCACATTTGATGATTCTTATTCTCGTTGTTGTGTTATAAGTCGATTTCATTCACTCCAACATTCATTCACTGCTGCTGTTGTTGTTGTTGTTTCATTTTTTTTTTTTTTTGGATCACTTCTCTGGAACCGAAACAAAATATTTTTATGATGTAAGTCAACCAACAACAGCAGCAACAGCAGCAACAACAACAAAAACAGCGTAAAGTGATAGTGATATGAAAATAAAAAAAAAGACAGAATTTATAGTGAATTCCGGCTTCCGATTGTTTTGATTTCGGTTTTTTTTTTGTTTTGTTTTGTTTTGTTGTGTTACAATAGTTTTACAGTCACAGAAAAAGGCAAAAATAAAGGATATATCGAATCACTTGTTTTGTTTTGTTTTTTTTTTTGCCCAATTTTTTTCATATATAAATATATAGAAATGGATTCTTGAAAGATCAAGAATATGAGAGAAACAAAAAAAATGGCCAAAATTCTACCACACACAGCGCACAATGCATGAAAATGCTACTGAAAAGTTTTTTTTTATTTCTTTTGAACAAATTTCTGATTTAGAATACAGTTTGCTGTATAGAATTTAAATCCGATCCACGAAAACGAAACAAAAAAAAATGGGCTGGAAATAAAACATTGTATATATGTAACAAACGATCATCATCAAATGCAGGAAATGTTTGTAATGGTATAATTTAAACTAAGAATTGACTAGTGAAAAAAAAACGATAGAAAATGATGATAATAATGATGATGATGATGATGATAATGATGATAACAAACGTTTTTTCTCTCTCTCTCTAAAAAGCAAAAGGCAAAAAAAAAATCATGATGGTGATGATAGGATGAATTCTGGAATTAATGGTTATATTCTGAAAAAAAAAGAATATAATGTATGTTATATCAGACAACATGACAACATACAAACAAACAAAAAAGTACTGCAAACCGGCCATACAAATCTAACTGAATGAATTGTATGGTGGAACAAAAAAATATTGGAACAATCAAAACCATTACTGGAACCATAGTAGGCCATATCATCATCGTCATCGTTTTGTTGTCGTTGTCGTTTTTGTTTCCATTAATACGCCTTTAACTACAAAAAAAAAGTTATTTTCAAACAACAACAACAACAACGACGACGACAATAATAATAGCCTGGAAATGAAACAAAAAAAAACCCTATACAGACAATTGTAGCTACAACTATGGTTGTAACTAATGGATCATCATCATCATCATGATGATGATTTCGAATCCATAACGACTTTCATTATTCGGATGTGAATGTCAATATCTATGAACAACATCATTAACTATCTATGAAGAATCAAGAATCAAGAATAAGAGAAAAATTTGGAAATTTAAAAAGAATATATATAAAAAGTGAGAAAAAAAAGAAAGAAAAAAAACAAAATCGATATACGAACGTTATATAAAAATAAATTTTTTTTTTGGTCGGCCATCATTAAATGATGCGTTTATGTTTTTTTATTCGGCCACCATCAACATTGATCGAACGGTCGTTGTTGTTGTCCATTGCCAGTCGTGGTCCATTGTTGTTGAATCTTATGGAATTTTACTGTGTTTCTGGAACCATTTTACATTATGTAGATGCGTGTGTGTGTGTGTGTGTGTATGTGACAACGTGTACATCATCATATCGGTCGTTGACGATGAATAGCCACATATAGATTATGGTATATAATATATTCTGATTTTATTTTTCATCTCTGCAGTGAATGTCAGAATCAAAACAACGACCAAAACACAAATATAGAATTATTATACGAACAAAAAATTTGGTTCTAAAGTAAAGTAAAAGAAAAAGAAAAAAAAATGAAAAAAAAGAGAAATGAAATTATGCACATATAGTGTGAACACTCAGACACACACACACACACACACACACATAAGACAACAACAAACAAACGACCAACCAAAAACATCTATTACACAGATTCTTTTTTCTCGACTAGTACTACTACTCTACTAAAAAAAAATCTGCATAAAAATTCTTTCATTCTTTTATTATCCACATTGTTGTTGTTGTTGTTGTTGTTGTTGAAATAATCAAATTATTCGACAACGACGACGACGATGATGATGATGATGATGAAATGGACTATGACGAAAATGAAAATTG